GCCGACGGGCCGCAGTGGTGGGGCGCGAGCGTGCTTACCTCGGGGAGAGGGCGCACCGGCCTGGTCTGGCTGGGCCGCCGCGGCCTCGGGCTCAGGACGCTGTTGCTTCCCCGGCCCGCTGAGGAGGTGGAGAAGGAGCGGTCCCGCCCCCCTCCGGGCCAGTCCCCGCCCCCGGCCCCCGTCCCGCGTCCGGTCGGCAAGGCCAGCGGAGAAGACGCCCTTGTGGGGCTGGAGCCCAAGGCCCACCCCCCTTTCCCACAGCAGCACCCCCACCCCGCGCCTGCACAGCGGCCGCTTTGTTCCCCTGCAGCTGGGCTCTCCACCGCGCACACCCCTCCTCGCCCTCTCCCCCCGACTCCGAGACCACTCCGCCCAGCTCCAGGCTCCTCTGAGTGGGTGTTTTTGACAGTCTCTCTCTCAGTTCCCCCCTCCACCCACCTCGGAGGCCTGGATCTCCATTGGCTCCAGTGAGCCTCGGCTCAGCCCTTCGACACCCCCTCCAGAACCTTCGCCGGCTGCCCAGGGCGGCCCGCACCCCGTCTCCTCGCCCTCTTCCAAGCCCACCGCGGAGAGCTGGAGACGGTGTGGACGAACCTGCACCCCAGGCTCCGCGGAGTTTTCTAAGAGGGGATAAGAAGCGCGTTCAAGAGCCGCGCAAATTGTCAAACTCAAGAGACTCCTGGGGCGCCCCCCCACCGCAACCGGCCGGATCACAGTTAGGGGGCAAGCGACAGACACAGTTGAGCGCACCATGCTAGAAAAGTTTCGCTTTCTGTGGGAGCAGGGGATTAATCAGGAGGAAAAGCGGGGACTGAAGACCCAAGAGTAGCCTAGAAACAGCCTGTTGAAGTCGTTCTTCAGCTCAGCCTCACCTGGAAATCCAACACTGACAGTGGATCCCTACCTTGCACAGCCAGCTCTGCCCCAGGAGACCGACTGGGGAGGCCCTGGGGAGCTGAGCTCAGCTAGACTGAACCTCCCTAATGTGCCCTGGAGGGACTCCTGAGGCTTCTGCAGGAGCGGGGAGCAGAAAGCCCCCAAGGCTGGTCGATCCCAGCGAGGTGGAGAGCAGAAGATAACTTGTCCCAAACTTGTCCTCTTTGGGACGGACAAATCTTGTTCAGATTCAGTGTAGTCTGTGCACTCTCTGCCTGACCCAGGAACAGAAGGAGCTGGAGTGCAGGAATCTGTGGTCACTTACTGACAGGACCAGCATGAGCAGGGGCCCCGCGTGCTGGAGGCCGGAGCTCACCCGCGCCAGGCAATGGACAGGACGGGGGAGAAGGAGGGTCTTTGCAGTTACCTGTAGTTAACAGATCAGCTCCAGCAGTCGGTGCAATTCCCGAGCTTCTGCTCCTTTGCCACTGATGAAAAGGTTTGACTTTCCCCCCAAGCTGAATGCAGCCCTAGGATATGGGGGGGGGGGGGGCTTATTCTTCCTCTCTTCATACTGTTTGGACCTCTAAGTGTTTTGACTCTGGCTACCTTTCACGAGGCAGATCACAACAGTAATTTTCAGACTATTCTGGTAAAAGAGAGAGAAAAACCAACACTGTGTGTACCCTACGTGCCAAGACCCAGCATCGGAGGGGAGGGGCTCCGGCTGGGGTACCTCGGAGACTTTCCACTGAACTCACAACTTCCAGCTCTTCTTTACAGCCTTGGTCGAGAGGAATTTCAGGGAGTGATCAAGCCTGCCATAGAGGCAACTGATGCTGAGGCGGGGCCTTGAAAAGGCACTCAGCTTTCTGTCCTCCCCGCCCAGGGCCCAGCTGACCCCGCGTTAAAGGCTGTGCTGTGTCAAGGCCCTGTGTTCCCACACTCGGAGCACTCGGGGGACTGCAGACCTGCTGCCCTCACGGTGCACCCCCACCCACCCTTCTGCACATCTGGAGTGCATCAGAAAACTGGGGCTCTCAGTTATGCAAGAGGTCGAGCAGCTGGGAGCTCAGGAAAGGGGGAGGAAGAGGGAAAAACCAGAAAACAGCTTCCCAAGCCTGCTTCAGACTTTCCGAAGTGGAAGCAGGGGGAGAAGGCAGAGGCTGGGTGTGGAAGGAAGAGTGGGTTTTGTTTAGGCACTTGGCTATGAAGGTCAGCCTTGGATTTCCACGCCCCTCCCCCTGTGCCTGGGCACACTGCCCACCTCTGTCCCTCCTCTTAAACCGTACTCCTTCCAGCCCCTAAACGGTGATGACTTCATTACGGCAGGTAATTCCTGCAGATGCAGACCCTAGCAAAGAACTCTTTTCTGCCCCTGAGGACCCTGGACTTGGGCATCACCTGTGGAGGTGTGGTGGCAGTGAGGACGCCAGGCGACTCCACGCTGCATTCGGCTTGGGGACAAGGTCAAACCTTTCCACCGGCTGCAAAGGAGCAGAAACTCTCCTCAGCTTGTCTTCGGAATTGCACAACCCACAGGTCCTCCCAAGGCGCAGATGCATCCAAGCTGAGTGGGAAATTTGGGTAGGATGGGAAACCGGTCCTGTCTACCTCTGTGTCTCAGGACCTTCCTCACAAGCATTCACTTGGGCAGGAGGAGAAACAAGACCTATTCGCATCTCTCTCATTGCCCCGAATCTGTGACGCCTTTTGCAAACAGCTCCTCTGGTAATCAGCCTTATCACAGAGTGCGCCTTTCCAGAACTGGCTGAGCCCTACATGACCACTTGGCCCCTTGTAAACAGCAAGGCAAAGCACTGCTCCTTTCCAGGGGGGCAAGGGGAGTGAGCAGTAACCCAAGATTTTAAAAGCTTTCTGATTCTGAAACTGCCTCCTATGTTTATTTTTTTCTTCTTTTTTTAATCCTCACCCGAGGGCATTTTTCCATTTTTTGTTCAGATAGAGTGGGAGGGAGAGAGAGAGAAACATCGAGTGAAAGGGACACATCGAGTGGCTGCCACCCGCACGACCAGGATGACCAACCAGGGCCGGGGACAAACTGCAACCGAGATAAGCACCCTTAGCGGGAACCGAACCGGGGTCTCTCCGCTCCACAGGCCGATGCTCTACCCGCTGAGCCAAACCGGCCAGGGTGTGCCTCTTATGTTTAAAAGAGGGGGCGACAGCTTCATGTAGAAAGGTAGCCGTGCCCTGGTCAGGGCCTCGGTTGGAGTGTCGTCCAATGTGCCAGGGCTGCGGGTTTGATCCCCGGTCAGGGCACATACAGAATCAACCAATGAATGCACAGGTAAGTGGAACAAATCAATGTGTCTCAAAACCAACAGTAATTTTTAAAAAGGTGGCCGTTGCTCAAGGCCTGCACATCACTACCCCAGGGAAAACGGGATTGACACTTGCAGACACGTCTGCCCTTGGGTGAGAGCGACGCACAGCAATCGACTTGTGGACATTCCGGGTTAAAAGAAATTCTGCAGCTGCGAAGATGAGCAAGAGGGACCCACCCGAGCAAGAGGACACCGAGGGAGGACAGTTGCAGTGAGAAGTGCAAGGCTGCCCGGCTGCCGTGGCTCCGTGGACGGAGCGTCATCCCGTGGACTGAGGCCCCGGTTCAATTCCAGGTCAGGGCACATGCCTGGGTGGCAGGCTCGATCCCATGTGGGACGTGCAGGAGGCAGCATCGATCGCTGTTTCTCCCTTCCTCTCTCTCTAAAAAATCAGTTTAAAAAAAGACACATTTAAAGACGTGTAATTCTGAGTTTTTGCTTTCCTCTGGAGCAGTGGTTCTCAACCTTGCTGATGCCCCGACCCTTTAATACTGCTCATGTTGTGGTGACCCCCAACCATAGAATTTCGTTGCTACTTCTTACCTGTAACTTTGCTACTGCTATGTCTTAGGCGACCCCCGTGAAAGGCTCGTTCGACCCCCAAAGGGGTCGCGACCCACAGGTTGAGAACCCTGAGCCTACAAGCCGTGAGCTCTGTTCCTCACCCTCACTGACGCCACACTGAGCACCAGTAGTTAGTTAGCACTTGTCTGCCGGGGGAAGGAGACTTTCTAAGTCGGTACAGCCACTGCTTCTGGTTGGACGTGACAACCTTGAGGGTGGGGACTTTTTCTCCTACCTTCTTCCAGTGAGCCCTACAAGATGCAGACTTTTCAGAAAGGCTGTTCTCTCTCAACCCTGGAAATCTCTCAGATCGTATCCAGTATGAACAATTTTAAATTAACATAGGGCAAGGCTTCTGAGGAGATCGATGCCCAGGTCAACAGAGTTTGGGTTTGTAAGTACTGTGAGTAGTCGGTACAGGTTTGTAAAAAGGAATCCTGACCACAAGGTGTGCTCCTCACCTCCTCTGTGTGGAATCAGTTGAACCAGAGCACAACCAGGCCGCCTACACCTTACAGAGCTCTCAGGCCCAATCATTGTTAGTGCCCCTCACAAGAGGCCAGCAGTGCCCTTCGGCTGCGGAGGGTGCTGCCAGCCAGGGCAGGGCATGGCCTTGGCACGCTCTCACTGGGTCGAGGTGGCTCTCAGCCAGGCCTCATTCCAGCGACATTAGACCAGCTCCTTTCTAGGGGCAAAGTTCAGAATCTTGGCTTTCACCACTAAAATACATACCTTTTCCTTCCTATTGTTCACTGGGGAATAATCTGCTGATCATCGTTTTTTCACGTTAAATAACGAAGCCTTTTCTAGGGGACTTACAACCCCCCCAGAGTGTTCACTCACCCCAGTAACTTCTTACCACTGTCTGTCAGGGAGCAGGCTTCACATCAAACCTGTCATCATTACAGATGAAGCCTCGGTTTCCTGACCCTGCAACTGCCCGACCAAAGTAAGACCAGAGTCCGTGAGCAGCATTTAACTCAAAACCTGCTTGCGAAGCGTGTGCATGTGTGTACGCATGTAAAAACACACAAGGAGACACACCTGTAATGGGAAAAGGCAACGAATACTCTCAGATAGAGATTATTTTCTCTTAAAAAACACACCATGAATTTTTAATCTTAGATCCTATTTCGTTGCTCTGACTCGGCAAACAGACACCACAGTATAAGCCAAGGGTCCAGTAAACACTCATTTTATAATACTCTTTATTTGATTAAAGAATCTGCCTTTTTGTGTACACTGGAATGTTATATTCCCTATGTATTTTACAGGGTTACAAAACATCTCTCATTTTAAATATTACTCCAAAAGTAATTTCAGAAAAAAAAGTTTTTGTAAAACTAAACTTGACTTTTAAAAAATCATATGGACAAACAACTCTCAAACAAAACAGGATTAATAAGATTTCTTGCCTATTTAACTATGACAGATTTCTTGTCCCAGGCACCTTCCTCAAAAAAAAAAAACATGTGGAAACAAGCCAGAGATAAGGACTCTTCCCTGATGCTGCGAAGGGGAAGGGAAAGGCCAGAAACTCCTTTGGCAGACAGTTCCTCCGTGGCCACTGCTGGGGCGCTCTGCCCAGCAAGCCGTGCTCTCCAGCCAGCACAGGGGAGGGAGCCCTCTAGCCCCTGCCTCTCCCCTGCCTGTGGCGCAGCCTGCCCGCGGATCCATGAACCCTGCCGAGTGCAATACTGGGGTGAAAGCCAACGATGGGCTGGCTGCCGGTCTTCTCCACTGAAAAAGTAACGGGCAAGACGGGGCTAGGAAATAACGGCGACATGATGACACTAACAGAAAGACTGGGCGAGGAAAAGGGATCGCAGAGACAGGGACAGACAGGCTGGAAGGAAATGGGAGTACACACCAGCCATCTGACACCACTACAATCAGCTGCCTTTGAAACCCTAAAACCCTGGTGGTGGAAACGGAGTTTCCTTGATCGTTTAGGGCCAATGGAACTGGCACAAGGATTCACTGAACCCACAGCCTCCAAAATCAAAACCTCGTCTCTGCCGGGAAAGGACTGTGACACACACAACAGCCGGAAAGAGGGCGGTGGTGTGGTGGTCTGAGGACTGTGAGTGGAGCACAGAGACCACGAGCTTTTCCGCTGTGGTAGCTGAAGCACTCAACATGTGGAGGCGGGGAGGCCTGGGCAGCACCAGCAGCAGACAGGATTATCTGAGGATGCGGAACCCTAACTGGACACATGGTTCTCCTCCCAGACCCCCAGACGTGGTGGGGCGATGCCGTCTGCAAGCTGCTTCTCAGCGGTCTTCAGCATTCACAGCACTGTTCTGAACTGGAGGGACCAGCCTAGATGGAAGACGACTTGGCAAAGGAGTGGAGAAATGAATGGATATAGGAGAAGAACATGAGACGTCACCTGCACAGTCTGACCCCAAGGCCGGGCGAGATGGCCTTGCCTGAGGACCACCACACGCGACAGCGCGCACGGCGGCCCGGCTCCCGCGGACACGGGGAAGCTGCAGGCGAAGGAAAGGAGTAGGAAAGATTAAAATCTTCTGCAGAGAGAACTTTCAAAAAACTAAGTAAGTATGAAATATAACTATATTTAGGGATTAAAACAGGAGCAGCTTAGGTCGAGGCAGAGATGGTGTTTAACTGGGGGCATTCTCTGGAGAGCTGGCCTTCCTTCTGGCCAGCAAAATCTGCCAAAGAAATCAGCAGCCTTTCCCTTTATGTTTGTGTCATTTCTTTGCCAAAGACTGTCTCTGTGACATGAAACACTGAGGGCAAGTTGAGGGTCCTTGTGTGCCGAGAATCGTGCATTACACTAGGAATAAAAGGGTCTCCAATGGCTTGCAGATTTGGGAAAAAATTCTTCAGCCACTGTTGGCTTCTTCTTTATTAATTTGAAAGTTTTCCTTTTCCGTTTCCTCTTCTTGACATTACAGGACTTCATACTTATCCACTAGAAAAGTGGTTTCTGTAGAAAACCTTACTGGGCTGTTGCCATCTACCTGGGTCACTTTGGTTACCTAGGAAAACAAACAAAGAGTATGGTAAAGCAGGTGCTGACTACATTTCCAGCACACAACAGATCAAATTCCCTAAAAGCAGTACTAAAAGTAACTCAGAAGTGTTAGGAAAAGTCCGATCCCCACTGCAACTCACAGCGTTGCTCTTCCCCATCGACATAGCCAGCCAGCTTTCTGCAGAGAAGACAGCCACTGGGGTTAGGTGTGGAGCAGAGTGATAGTAAGTAAAAGGTCTAGAATGAGTGGCCCTGCCCAGGCCCTGCCACATAAAGTCTATGAAGTTCACAGACATTCTACCAGGATACTCAATTAACGTTTTGACCCAAAATGCAATATTGTAACTACAAAATTGTTTGATTTGCTTTTAAAGTCTAACTAAACTGCTCTATCACACTTATTTTCTAGATATAGCTGGGTCCTTCTAATGAGATCTTGTCTTTTTTTTTTTAATAATAAAAAAATGTCTAGTTTAGCGGCTGGTGTGGCTCAGTGGATTGAGCGCCGTCCCATGGACTGAGAGGTCCTGGTTCAATTCCCAGTCAGGACATATGCCCAGGTTGCAGGCTCTATCCCCAGTAGGGGGCACGCAGGAAGCAGCCGATCAATGTTTCTCTCTCACCTTGATGTTTCTCTCTGTCCCTTCCTCTCTCTCTTAAAAAAAAAAAGTCTAGCCCTGGCTGGTTTGGCTCAGTGGTAAGAGCATTGGCCCACAGACCAGAGTGCAGGTTCGATTCCGGCCAAGGGCACATACCTTGGTTGTAGTTCATCCCTGGCCCTAGTCAGGGTCATGCGGGAAGTAACCAATCGAAATGTCCCTCTCACATTGGTGTTTCTTTCTCTCACTTTATCTGAAGATAAATGGAAAAACATCCTCAGGTGAGGATTGGGGGGGACAGGGAATCTAGTTTAATGAATTACCTGTAACAACGGTGCCTATAATAGCACCAACATAATATTTGAACCACTGACTCGTATTTTCTAATGCGGTATTTATTTATTTATTTTTGTCCTCACCTGAGGACATTTTTCCATTTTTTATTCAGCTAGAGTAGGAGGGAGAGAGAGAGAAACATCGACGTGAAAGGGACACATCGAGTGGCTGCCACCCATACGACCAACCAGGGCCGGGGACAAACTGCAACCGAGGTACATGCCCTTCGCAGGAACTGAACCCGGGTCTCTCTGGACCGCAGGCCGACACGCTAACCGCTGAGCCACACCGGCCAGGGCTCTAGTGCAGTTTTGAGAGAGCTATCACACTGTCCTACTCTTCAAATGGTCCCAAACAGGAAAATGTACCCATTTCTAACTAATGTGCTGAGTTCAACCATGTGCTCCCAATGCTGATGGGGTTGCGCCCTGAGAGGGGAGAGAGAATGTTCTTTGGAATCATCCAACAGGGAACTCTGACCTCCCAGCTCTTCGGAGACAGACTACCTGGGAAGATGAGACAGCGCCAGAAGAAGAGCAGATCAGTTGGAGGGGAATGGACAATATGAACTGGGTCCTTGTAATGCAAATTCAAAAAGTGGAGGCAGAATGAATTAAAACTCCCACATTTCTACTGCTCTGCCAACCTGCAGGTCAGGGTCTGCAATAGAGCTGGCTCGTATCCATTTGTATCAGAATCACTTGGGGGAAGGGGCCAATAATTCTTGCCTTCTAAAAAAAAAACTTTCTCTTTCATTCCTTGGGTTCAAACCAAGTGACAATACAAAAGGTGTTACAAAGCCATGTGTTGGGTGTTTTGAAAATGGATTTTAAAATATATGAGATTTTTTTTACATAGGCAACTAAAAGATATAAACCTCGCACCGCCCATAACTTTTCAATATGTATTTGTATTCAGTGTCCTCGCTTTGCCTGACCTAGAGAGGAAAGCCGAGGTAAAGCAGGTGAGAACCCTGACCAGGACCGTACGAGGAGCCAGCAATGGGATGGGCAGGGGACACCAGCTTCTCTGGTCTCTCGCTCTGACATGAGTCCATGCCCCCTGTCTGGCATTTGTCTTACCACTTTCCCAAATAGGCTCTCTATTAAAATGGGGTACCTGTATGTTACAGTAATTCTTTTTGGAGATGAAGGAGACTTGCACAGGGAAGAAATCGTTGGGCTGCCCAGCAATGCTGAACTCAAGGCTGCCACTCTTATTCTTGGCATCAATCACTGGCAGGCACCACTCCAAGGTATTTCGCCGACTGTCATGCCGATACTCGCCATCGATCTCACCAATGACGGGCGCGCCGACACCAGATCTGTCATGAGAAACGCCGTGGGAAGTTAGTTGTCCAGAGTTGGAAGAACTCGGCCGAGGAAAGCCAGCCCCAAATTTGGTTATGCTCCTCGAATTCCGCCCACTTTTATATAATGCAACAAAAATTAGGTTCTCTGATAACTTCAAGGGTCGAAGCCCTGCACCTTTCCCTCAGCCCTCTGCAGACTCACACCTCTGCCGCCACAGGCGACTGCAGATGCGCCCTGGGCTGCTCCAGCACGTGCACAGATCTGAAGCCTGGAGGGGGTGAGACTGACCATGGGATATATTTCCAAAAATCTGTACCAATCATTTGTTGCCATGTCAAGAAATTTTAATATAATATAGCTCTCTTTACAGGTGACAATGGGAAAGAACAGGTTGACAATAGTGGGAAGAAACTTTAAGCACCATTATGTAGTTAATTAGAATGTAGTGAATGTGGGCCTTTGAGAGAATGTTTTCAAAAGATTTTCAAATGTTTCAAACTTATTGTAGTTGAAGCCAGTAGATTTAGTTGATTTGAAACCTAGTAAGTGGACTTTTGTGTATAAGTGCAAGCACAATGACTTCCTGACAAAATGTGAGCGGGATGGGAGAAAGACATACAGCTGTCTGAATCTGCAAAAGAACTAGTTAGAATGTACTGCGCTCCCCCACACATGGCTGACAGGCAGTGTTACCTGCTCCTACACACTCCAAAGTGACCACCTTTTAGCCACCTGGGACACTCAGTGCTTGTATTCGGGCAGGGTAATTAATGGAGACAAAGAAACTTTAAGGGTAAAATAACATAATGAACTCTTCTCTATCAATTTTATGGCCCCAGTTGTAAATATGTTCTCTCTGCCCTGTTCCAATTCTGATTGTGATCCTGACTTCTAATTGGATTAGTTCTAGAGATTAGGGTAAAATGTCGTCTAAGGGTCTCTTTTGGGGACTATTGAAATATTGAACTAAGACACAGGAAACCACCATAACCACAATTATAGGGTAGATGGAGAGGCCTAAAAATTGTGGCATCCTAAAAATAGTCTAGTAAAGTAAGTCCTAACAAGACAAATCCTGCACCTGTTATCCTGCCCCAAGACCTACAATGGTTTAAGACAGCCATCTACTGTTTTGAAAGACTAACCAAGCTGTGAAGAATAAAATGGTTACCCCGTTAAAGGAGATATTGACAATAAACTTAGTTTTAGAAATGAGGATAGGCCTGGCCAGCGTGGCTCAGCTGGCCAAGTTCTGCTCCACACCTAAGAGGTGCTGGCTATACTCCCAATCAGGGCACAGGCCTGGGTTGCAGGCTCGATTCCCAGTGCAGGAGGCAGCCAATTGATTGATGTTTCTATCTCATTGAAGTTCTATGTCTGTCTCCCTCTCCCTCTCCCTCCCTCTCTCTCTGAAAAAGATCAATAAAACATTTAAAAAGAAAAGGAAGTAAGTCGGGGTCATGCAGGAGTAAACAACTGATATCTCTCCCTCCCTCCCTTTCACTCTATCTAAAAATCAACGAATGCTCGGTGGTTGAGTGTCGACCCCTGCACCAAGAGGTCACCAGTTCGATTCCTGGTCAGGGCACATGCCCAGGTTGTGGGCCTGATCCCCAGTGGGGGGCATGCGGGAGGTGACCAGTCGATGTTCTCTCACGAATGTTTCTATCTCCTCTCCCTTCTTCTCTTTTTCTAAAAAAATCAATGAAAAAAATATCCTCAGGTAAGGATTAACCAAAAAAGAAAAAAAGGAAATAAAAATAACTAAAACCAGACCTCACCATGTAAAGGCCTGAATTATCAAAAAGGGAACAAAACTAAAAATTAAATTAGTACCATTTTAATGCCACAATAACAAAGCAACATAACAGTCAAGATACACTAAAAATAGACTTATTGGGTATTCATAGGGGCAGGGGTTGAAAGGTAGAGGGGAGGAGCTGGGATTCACTGGTAAAGTAACCATAGTGCACACTAACTGGAAATGCTAGGGAGGAGATATACTTAAGGTAAAGGGTATTTCCAGATGAACCTAGTAACACTTCTGGGGGTGACAGACATTTTCATTAGCTTCATTGTAGTCATGGTTTCATAGGTGTTTACATGTCAAAACTTAAACTACATTTTAAATATGTGTCATGTATTTGCATGTCAATCATACCTCACTAAAACAGAAAATTTACTGAAACCAATGTAGATATCATTTTTCAGAAAATATACTCTCATCTTTAGGTGAAAGTTTAGAGAGCAAATGAAAAAGAAAAAGTCAGTCTGACAGACTCAATTTAACAGTTGCAAAACAGAACAGAGAGCGAGCAGTGGCTCCCCCTTCTGGAAACCTTCATCACTGCATGGACACACTGAGGACCAACATCTGCAAATAGCTCTAGCAGGACAACTGGCTGTTTGTCTAGTTTGGTCTTAGAGTCAGCAACTCCACACTCCTTTCAGAGTGCTCAGCTCCAGGCATTATGACAGCTGTATGTACCCTCGTCAGCACCGTCCCAAGCAAGTCATAAAGCATTTCCATCATCCCCAAAAGTCCCCTGTGACCCTTTGCAGGCAAATGCCTCCCTCCCCCCACAAAAAGATTATGTGCCTCTTCTCTACTTCCTAATTTCTGTCCTAAGAGGAATACTGCCTTTTCAGAATGTCATATACATGAAAGCATATAGCATGTAGCCTTTTGTTCTGTCTTCCTTCACAACTGGTCTTGTTAAGAAGCAAAGAGCCCTGGCTGGTTTGGCTCAGCGGTTAGAGCGTCGGCCTGCGGACCAGAGAGACCCGGGTTCGGTTCCGCTAAGGGCGCGTACCTCGGTTGCGGTGTGTCCCGAACCCTGGTTGGTCAGGAGGGTGGCAGCCACTTGATGTGTACCTTTCACATCGATGTTTCTCTCTCTCTCCTTCTCACTCTGAACAAAAAATGGAAGGATGTCCTCGGGTGAGGATTAGAAAAAAAAAAGAAGCAAAGAACTCAGCACAAACAGCCCACTAACTGCTGCCTCCAAACCAAGCTCCAAAGACGAGTCCTATAAACGCAACACGGAACAAGGATGCGGGGCACCACTTACGGGAGTGGGATGGTAATGACCACATCGTTCAGTTCTAAATTATCTTCTTGAAGCTCATATTCTATGTTGACATCACAGCCATTTCCACTCTCGGAGGGCCAGCAATTAACTGAGGAGAGAACAAAGCAGGCACACCAGAACATTAGAAAGGAGTCAAGCTCAGAGGACAAATCAAAGCTGAGCGCTGTGGACCTCACACATCCAAATGCAAACCATTATAAGTAAGTTTTGGCATTAAAGCTACTAAAGAAACAAGGCTAATGACTAAACACACGGACGTCAGCAGGTCACTCCCTCAAGAACAAGGCCGCGTGGCAGTGGAGGGAAGAGCACAGCCAGCTGTTCCCAGCTCTCAGTGCGGCCCAGCTCCACGGGACCGGCCAGCGGCGCTTACTTGTCAGTGGAATAAAAGACTCCTCTGTGGTCTGCAGTCTCCACTTCAGCACCCCTACGTCACTGTTGACTGGGAATGACTTCTCTGGATTCTTCAAGCCAATTAGAGATTCTGCAGTGAAAAGTTTTTTATCTACGTTTGGATGGGTCTGAAATAAAAAGGGAAAGTAAGTTTCTGAGGCTTAGACATAAGACTAAACAAATTCCCTCTGGTCTTCCACGGCTCATAATCAAAACATTTTAAATAGGGTACCTAACAAATTCCAATTTGTTTTTATTTTGAAGAAAAATTTCACATCCTTAAAGATTTTTAAGATTTAAAAAATATTTTAGAAAGTGATTTTAGCCCTGGCCAGTTTGGCTCAGCTATTAGAGGGTTGGCCCAAGAACTGAAGGGTTGTGGGATCAGTTCCGGTCAAGAACACGTACCTGGATTGCGGGTTCAATCCCTGGCTGCGGTCAGGGTCATGTGGGAGGCAACCAATCAATGTGTCTCTCTTACATCACTGTTTCGTTCTCTCTCTTACTCCCTCCCTTCTACTCTCTCTAAAAATCAATGGAAAAATATCTTCGGGTGAAGATTAACAAAAAGTGATTTCAACTCTAAGCCATTTCATTTGTAACTTAAAAGTTAATAATCTTGCAATTAAGGAAGTTAAAGACCTTTAACCAAGTTTTTCCAAAAATAGTTTACAGGTAGCAGCCTCATGGTGGAGTCAAGCTTGCAATTAAAGACTAAGAATTGCCCTGGCCGGCGTGGCTCAGTTGGTTGAGCATCATTCCATGCACCAAAAGGTCACCAGTTCAATTCCCGGTCAGGGCACATGCCTAAGTTGTGGGCCCGATCCCCAGTGGGGGCGTGGAGGAGGCAGCCAATCGATGTCTCTCTCTTTCTCTCTCCCTCCCTCCCTCTCTCTATAAAATCAATGAAGAATAAAGTATTAAAAAAAAAAAAAAAAAAAGACCCAGGGTCACACACTGATCACCTGCCCCTGGCTTTACACTAAAGAGGAAGAAGAGGGAAAAGTTCTGTGGAAAGTTTAGTTGAAATTTTGCTCAGAGCACTAAAGTTGTTCAAACTCAGGCCAAGTAAGATGGGCTAATCTTTTAAAAATAAATATTAGAACAAAAAAAGGAAAAGAAATAATTCTGGGTAACGACCGACATATACTTGAAGAGCCAGCGAAGCTGGTCCTAAACGACAGAAGCTCTGCTCCCAGAAGACAGCTGTGCTTATGGGAAGAGCACGCAGTAGACAGAACAGCTTCCCTGAGAAGGCTGTGTCCCTGTGAGAAGAGATGCCAGTCACCCGCCATCTAAAGCAAATGTGACAAGAACAACTGTAATAATATAAAGAGCATCACATATATATTCAGGTAGGTGAAACATACACACTCATTTTGTAAGGCTTTTATGCAGTTTTCAAATATATCATTAGATACTGCCCTTCAGATAACAAAACAAGCACTGGTAGTTTATACAGTGGCAGAAAGAGCAAATTTAGTATCATAACCTGTTTTAATATAATAGTTCCTTATTAAGTTTAAAGACTTTTGTTTTTTAAAACCGATTTCAAGCAATATCCTCAATGAATTATTTCACTCTTTACATAACATGCAAGTATCTCTCTGCTCCTGTTAGTGAGTAGAAGTCATTTATTAGATTTTTTTTTTTTAATCCTCACCTGAGGACATTTTTCCATTTTTTGTTCAGAGGGAGAGAGAGGGAGAGAGAGAGAGAGAAATATCGATGTGAAAGGGACACATCAAGTGGTCTCCACCCGCACAACCCAACCAGGGCCGGGGACAAACTGCAACTGAGGTACATGCCCTTAGCGGGAACTGAACCTGGGTCTCTCTAGACCGCAGGCCGACGCTCTAACCGCTGAGTCAAACCGGCCAAGCATTTATTAGATTTTTTTTTTTTTATCCTCATCCGAGGACATTTTTCCATCTCTTGTTCAGATAGAATGGGAGGGAGGGAGAGAGAAACATCGACGTGAAAGGGACACATTGAGTGGCTGCCACCTGCACGACCAACCAGGGCCGGCGACAAACTGCAACCGAGGTACGCGCCCTTAGTGGGAACCGAACCTGGGTCTCTCCGGACCGCAGGCCGACACGCTAACTGCTGAGCCAAACTGGTCAGGGCCATTTATTAGATTTTTAAATGACTTTTCCTTCAATTCCAATATTAAAAGGCCATTTTAACACAGCTGCTGTCAATCACTCTCAACCAGCTTGAGAAGAGATTTATTGCCCCACGGCACCCACTGTATGCAATATAATTAACTTCATTCCTATGTGTCCAGAATGTCACTAGTTACACAACTTCAATAATTTTCAGTGTTCTGTGGTTCATATGAGGAACTCCAGTTGGTATGACTGTTGGTAGACAAAAGTCTTAATACTCCCTAATTAAAAGTCTCTACACACCTGTAGCTGTACCCCTTTCTTATCTTCATTTTCCACATGAAGACGAATTCGGCCAAATTTATCATCTGAGATCCTCAGCATGATCATGCCATGCAACTCCATATTCTGTAATCCTCCATCTCGTCCACAGGTTAGAGTGATTTTTTCCTCAATCTTCATGTGCACACTGTAAAGATAAGTAATACATTTGTTCAGAAAGGTAGAAATCAGAACTCCCTTTCTTCAGGATTTAATGGTGGTTAGCCATCCACAGTTTCTTTTAAGGTGCTGCTGCTGTACAGGGTGTGGAAAAGTAGGTTTACAGTTATGAGTACACAAAGCACAGAATTCATTCTTGTAGTATTATTTATTATGTACCATTTTCCATACAAACACCTGTAAACTTACTTTTGCTCCACCCTGTATGTATCAAAATTTAAAGCATTATACCCTTCAATTCAGCATTTCTCATCCTACCTGTGCAAACAATATAGTAAAGTAACTAAAAAACTGTTCATAATAGCAAAAGTTTGGAAACAATTTAAATGTCCATCAAGCACTGGTCAGTTTGGCTCAGCTGTTAGAGCATCAGCCAGCAGACCAGAGAGACCCATTCAGTTCCTGCTAAGGCACGTACGTACCTCAGCTGCAGTTTGTCCCCGGCCCCAATGGGGCCGTGTGGATGACAACCAGTCTCTCTGACATTGATGCCCACCCCCCATCCTCCCGCCCGTTCTATCTGAAGATAAATGCAAAAATGTCCTCGGGTGAGGATAAAAAAATAAATAAAAAATAAATGTCCATCAATAGGGCAGTGCTTAAATACATAAAGGTATATCCACTAAAATGAATATTAGGCAGTTGTGAAAGAAACAGATGACAGCCCGGCTGGTGTAGTTCAGTGGACTGAGTGTACCATGGACTGAGAGGTCCCAGTTCTATTCCCAGTCAGAGAACGTGCCTAGGTTGCGGGCTCAATGCCCAGTGGGGGGTGTGCAGGAGGTGGCTGATTGATGTTTCTATCTCTCTCTCCCTTCCTCTCTCTAAAAAGCCAGTGGAAATATATTTTTTTTAAAAAGCGATGACCAAAGCTTTCATTTGAAAATACTTTCAAATATTAAAATCAGTCCTGGCCAGTTTGGCTCAGTGGTTAGAGCGTCGGCCTGCGGTCCGGAGAGACCCGGGTTCGGTTCCCGCTAAGGGCATGTACCTCGGTTGCAGTTTGTCCCCGGCCCTGGTTGGTTATGCGGGTAGCAGCCACTCGATGTGTCCCTTTACGTCGATGTTTCTCTCTCTCTCTCCCTTCCTCTCTCTCCCTCCCACTCTATCTGTACAAAAAATGGAAAAATATCCTCGGGTGAGGATTAAAAAAAAAAAAAAATTAAAATCATACCAGGAATATATATAGTCTTTTTACCCACTATTAACATTTCATTCATACATGTTTTTTTGGGTTTTTTTGTGGTACATGCCCCTAGCGGAAACCAAACCCGGGACTCTCTGGTCCGCAGGGCAACGCTCAACCACTGAGCCAAACTGGCCAGGGCTCATCCCATTCGTTTTGCCATTTACATACTCTCTCTCTAGAAATACTGGAGTTGCTTTATTTCTGTGAACCATCTAGAGGCAGACAATATGTACATCATGGCCATCCCCCTAAATACTTAGGAGCACATTCTGTAACACGGATATTCTCTCACATAATCATTGTCTTGTTACTAACTTCTCGCATTTATATTGATAAAACACTTTTGTCTAATTGCCATCCACATGCCAATTCTGTCAGCTGACCAGTAATGTCCTTTGAGTAGTACAGGATCCAGTCTAGGGTGAGGCACTGGTTTTGACGTCACCTCTCTATAGCTTCAAATTAAGGCAATTCTTATCTCTAAAATAATAAAGTGAAAAAAGCGACTGGAAAATGTGTCTAGTACGCTACCACTTATGTATAAAAAAGAGAAAAACAGCCCTGGCCGCTTTGGCTCAGCAGTTAGTGTCAGCCCACGGACCAAAGAGTTTTGGGTTTGATTCCAGCCAAGGACACATACCTCAGGCACAACACGATCCCTGGCCCTGGTCAGGGTCATGCGGGTCTCTCTCACATCAATGCCCCCCCCCCGACTCCCACTCTATCTAAAAATCAATGGAAAAAATATCCTCAGGTGAGGATTAAAATAAAACAATAATAATAAAAAATAAAAGAAAAACAGACTATATCCAGTATTTTTATTCATCTATATAAAGTCTATTCCCCTCAGAAGGATACACAGAAAAAAACCTAGTTAATACTAGTTGCTTCCAAAAACAGAAATTTGCTTGGCTGGGTAGAAGAAAGACTTACTGTAATACCTTTGAATCTTTTGAATTTTTAACTCTATATAGAAAAAGTAAGTAAAGAAAAAGTGCTGCTGCTACGGCAATCATCAGTACAGGCTATCCATGCTCCTTACTAAACTGCCTTCGGCTGGGTGAGCTGCAGAGGCTACACAGAATGTTGACATCCAATTTTGCTCTGTTCCAACCTGGGTTCCCAGAAACAAAGGACAGAGACGCAAGACCACAAAGGGCTGAACTGTAGGACAGTGTGGGTCCCACTCAGCTTCACGAGGGCCTGCCCCACACTCGAGGAGTGCCCATCACGGGGGCCTGCCCCACACTCAAGGAGTGCCCCATCACGTGGAAGTCTCAGCACTCTCACATGTGATGGTTCCCAACATCTTTCTACAATAGTGTCAAGCCTCTGTTTCACTTGAAGCAACCACTAGGTATAGCACAGAAGCTTTAGTGATTTAAAAGATTATCCCGAACCCTGGCCGGCATGGGTCAGTGGTTGGAGCATTGGCCTAAGCACCAAAGGCCTGTAAGTTTGATTCCTGGCCCCAGATGGAGCTCGTGTGGCAGGTGATCAATGTGTCTCTCTCACATCGATGTTTGTCTTTCTCTCTCTCAAAAACAAAATCAATGGAAAAATATCCTTGGGTGAGGATTAACAAAAAAATAAATAGAAGCTGTATCCTGATGTAACCCTGTTCATTTCACACAGAACAGAACAAAAATACTCCTTTTATGCACACCTGATAAGTTATCCTCCCAGACTCATCTTTTGTTTGCCCTCAAAACCACTGGCAACAGTAGGTCTGGGCTTCAAGACAAGAAATCTGAGTTATGAATATGTAAACTTGACAACCATCACTTAAAAACGTTACCAACCAGTATCACAGTCCTGAAATAAGAAACAAATCAAAATATTCTACACAGACCCTGGTCAGGTAGTTCAGATGGTCAGAGCATCATTCCAACACACCAAGGTTGCAGATTTGATTCCTGGTCAGGACACATACAAGAATCAACTAATGAATATATAAATAAGTGGAACAAAAAATCGATGTCTCTCTCAAAAGAATAAAAAAAGAAATTAAAAAAAATTCTATACTGGGCTCCACTACTTAAAAGGCAAAAAGTAATACGTAAATTTTGTGTTAAAGATATTTATAAATTTTGTGTTAAAGACTGTTTCTCCTGAAAGTTTAATTAGGAAAAGACATGCCAAACACAGTGCAGTGATCATCACAGCTTTAGCTTCTAATTCAAGTCCAATTTAAGATGCAAGGCAACATGCTAGGCATGAATACAAGTTATTTTTCATTTAGTCAATACACAGAGTTGATAAAAAATAGATGGCTCAGAACCCCTAATCATGGCTAAAATAAATAATTTTAAGAAGACTTCATGTTTTCCGGCTGGTGTGGCTCAGTGGTTGAGCGTCGACCCATGCACCGGGAGGTTGCTGGTTTGATTCCAGGTCAGGACACATGCCCAGGTTTTGGGCCCGATTCCCAGTGAAGGGCATGCAGGAGGTGGCCAATCGATGTTCTCTCTCATCAATGCTTCTATCTCTCTCTCCCTCTCCCTTCCTCTCTAAGATCAATAAAGGAAAAAAAAAACAAAAAACCCGATTTCATGTTAATAACCTAGAATCTACTCTACGTAAGTCCTTTAAATCTAGTAAAATTAAAAGACACAGAGATTTTATAGTGCATTGAAATAAAACATTTTAGCCCTGGCTGGTTTGGCTCAGCGGTTAGAGCGTCGGCCTGCAGACCAGAGAGTCCCGGGTTCGGTTTCCACTAGGGGCACGTACCAAAAACAAAAACAAAAAATAAATAAATAAAAAATTTTAGCCCAGCCAGTGTGGCTCAGTGGTTAAGCATCAACTCATGCACCAAAAGTTCATCGGTTCAATTCCTGATCAGGGCACATGCCCAAGTTGTGGGCCTGATCCCTAGTGGAGGGCACGCAGGAGGCAGCCAATCAATGTTCTCTCTCATTGATGTTTCTCTCTCTCTCTCCCTTCCTCTCTCTGACATCAATAAAGGAAAAAAAAAATTTAAACATCATGTGGTTGTTCTTGCTGAAAAGGTCACTACTTACCTTTCCATGTTAATGGGTGGAACATACACTTTGGTGGCTTCAGAGGTACGCTTGCCCATACTGGAGGATATGATAGTTTCACCTTCAGATTTCAATTTGTCCACAAAGTTATCTACTTCCTTTCCTTTGGCTCCAAGTTTCAAAGCCTTGCTGGGGCCTGAAGGCCTAAGTGGAAGAATATAAAATAAGAAAAAATACACACAATTTAAAATAAAAAACAAAACACACATTAATAACTCTATCTCTGAAGCTTTCCCTGGAGCTGTTCATTAAGAGGAGTGTGAAGACCTCAAGGAAAAGGCAAGTGCCCTAGTCGTTAGTAGTAGACATTCTCTACCCACACTGGCAGCTGAGTCACTATCACCACGTAAGCTTCAAGAACCCAAAGACCAAAACTATACTTTTCTAAGCATGCATGATCTGATTAAAACTTTGGCCCTGGCCAGTTTGGCTCAGCGGTTAGAGTGTCGACCTGCGGTCCGGAGAGACCCGGGTTCGGTTCCCGCTAAGGGCACGTACTTCGGTTGCAGTTTGTCCCCGGCCCTGGTTGGTCGTGCGGGTGGCAGCCACTCGATGTGTCCCTTCACGTCGATGTTTCCCTCTCTCTCTCCCTTCCTCTTTCTCCCTCCCACTCTATCTGTACAAAAAATGGAAAAATATCCTCGGGTGAGGATAAAAAAAAAAAAAAAAAAAACTTTGTATCGTCCATCCAGATAAATACACCTATGTACAAACAAACTTTTACATATAATTTCAGGTAGTCACGGATCAAAAACCTTAAATTTCCCTCCTCTCCCAAAATAGGGCAATCCTCACAAAAAATTGAGGTCATGGTATAATTTATAAAAGAACTCTGTTTTACACAAAAAGAAAAAAACCACATTCACATTTCTCCTTTATCCCCATGTGACCAAATTCAATATCACATCTTACTCCATATCAAGTCACTCATTATTTACAGTTTGCCTAAAACTCAAGTATCACTCCAAAAAGACACACAGAGCCTTCACCTGCCCTTCTGGGCTGCTGGGGAGACACTGGATCATACCTGGGTGGTGCAGGCGCCACTTTGGGTTTGTCCGTCTCAATGATGGTCTCTGTGATCATGGCAGCTGTGCTGCCTCCAGAGACTGCAGAACTTCCAAATCCCCCGAATCCCGGTGCTTTTTTGCCCTGTCTCTCTGCATCTCTTCGGGCCTGTTGTAATTCCTTTGCTTTACGCCGCATCTCAGCCTTGGCTTCACGTTCCTGAGTCTACAAAAAGAGACATACATACATGGATGTGGCTTTCAGTGCAGTCTACACTAGCAAATACAAACAGGAAAGTAGGTGGTGAAGCCTAAAAGAAAACGTTCAAACCAGCAGGCCCCGAGAAGAAGCTATTTACCTCTCTGACTGCTCTGAACACCTTCTCCTCGTGAGAATCCATTTCTGTGAAGGTTCTGATCTGTGCCAAATTAACATTCTCCCGGTATCCCAGGGCAACAATTTCATCAAAAGCAAAAATCAAATCAAAACAGTGATCAGATATTTCATTCTCCTCTAAGGCTCGGCAATATTCAGGGATCTAATCATAGACAGCAATGGAAAAGAAAGATTATCAGCAGTTTTGTCTTTCAAGTCTTATTTTTAAATTACACAAACTTCAGTAAACCTGAATCCTTTATTAGCTCCCTCTACAGGACTTTAAGCAAGACTCTGGCATAAAGTCTTCATGTGTGTCTATAACAATGTCTTTGTGTGTGTGTGCTTCAAAAAGTTCTTTCATAATTGATGTTTTATTGATTGTTTTGAGGATAAATTCAAACATTTCCATTTGTATACATTTCTTAACATATGTACCAAAAACCTAAAAATTTATGTAGTTGGGATTATTTTCTAAACAGTTATTCCAGTGACTTCCCAGCTTAAAAATTAGAGGCTAATTTTCCTTAGAGTAGCAAGGACTGGAATCTTCAAATGTTGATACGCTGTTTAAGTCCCACTAGTCACAATTTAACATCACACATACTACATAATCACATTTTCAATCTGTCACAGCACATTAACAACGTTCCTAGGAAAACTGGGCTACCACTCCAAAGATGTCAGAGTGTACAACATTCTGACAGGGAGGGCCAAGACTAAGGAGTGGTTTTCTTTAGACACAGTCGTACCAAAAACATGGGAATAGAATTTAAAATGTTTAAGACATATTAAATGCACGACTGACCCCCAAAATTTCATTTAGTGCTCTTTGTATTATGAAAACTACCCCCCATCTATGGAATGTTAAGCTGACACTCAAGACAATCAAAGTCTCTCATATTCGATATACCACTATTTTCTGTTTGCACCAAAAAATAAACAACCAGCAAATGATTTCACCTCTTTAAAAAAGCATTTACACTTTAAAAATTGGGATGAGGTGGAATTCCCTCCTTCTTAAAAATGTTTCTAGAGCTACAAAAAAACTTGCATTTACAAAATAGTTGATAAAAATATTCCTTTGGATTGTGCAAGGGAGACGGGGAGCCCCGAGGAGACAGGGGAGGTGATATTCATCAGACTCGGCCTTTTCTCTCCTGCTTCATCCGAGGCTGGACTCTCCGTTTTCAGGGCTCCTCTTCCCCAGGTGGGCCTCTCTAGGTTCCTGGGAGCCACTTCAGCCAGCCTGTTTCCCTCTGCTTCTCCTTTGCCTTTCGTTTGCACTTTTTTGTCTGTAGATGTATCCTTTCCTGCCGCCTTTTTGGTTTCATTTCCACTTTTGTAGGAGTAGGCTTAGCTGATCGAGCTCACCGGCCTCCTTTTGGGCTCCTCCTTTGCCGCCCCTCAGCAGAGCTGACTTTCCTCTTGGGCATTGTGGTGGCTGGGCCACGGTCTTCAGAGAGCCTCTGCAAACCTGGGCTACCTAGCCACTGCCCTAAGTCTTATCTAAAGTACGTTATCCAAGAATTCAGCCAAACAAGTGTCGGAACCACAAAGGCAGATTAAAGTAGCCACTTAAGAACTATGAAAGGAAAGGGAAGGTTCCCATACTCTCTTCTGGGATACTTCTAGCCTACGAGGATACCCAGTAAACATTTGTTGAATGAATCAAGAGCTGCTGGGGTGGGGAGAAGGAGCATGGGGCATGCAAACTGATAAGCATCAGCTGCTTCGGGTAAACATAGTTTCACACAGAAAATTTAAAGCAAAAGACTGTAACCTACTATTATAGGGCTCTTACCACTCTTGAGAAGAGCCTTAGGGTCTCCAGATCTTCTAAGATGTTACTGTTTTTGGTAGTGATCAGTACCATGTACAGTTTCTCCATAGGCTGGTAGACATATCTCACACTTTCTGTTTCAACAAACGTATGTTGTTTTCCAGTGTTCATGAGCTTTGGAAAAGCTGCTAACAAGCCCTCAATCCGAGTTCGGGTCATCTCCACAAACTGCCGAGAAACAATGGCCTTCCCTGCTTTGGTGCACACCGCTGCCGCCAACAGCACCTGCCAGGGGCACACGGACAAACGAGCTGATTCAGCACTTCTTCACAGCTGTGCTCTCAACATTCCCAGGTCTTCCACAGAATTACACACTTAGTTAGTTAGTGACACCACCACTATGAGAATGACTTTCGAACTCTACTTCGTTATTCTTTTAATTATAGTATGTAATTCGTAAGACAAACTAACATAGAAGAAAATGAAGGTATTATTCCTACTTTTCAATAACATACCTAAAGCAAACTTAATAAAGAAACCATTTTTTTCCAAATCTATATATACATGTGCCTCAGCAGTTACAGCATCAGCCTGCAGACCAAAGAGACGTGGGTTCAATTCCAGTCAAGGGCAAGTACCTCGACTGCGGCTTGGTCCCTGGGCCCTGGTTGGGGTCCTGCGGGAGGAAACCAGTCCATGTGTCTCTCTCACATGGATGTTTCTCTCTCTCTCTCTCTCCCTCCCACTCTATCTGAAGATAAATGGAAAAACATCCTCAGGTGAGGATTAAAAAGAAAAAGAACCAATGAATGCATAAATAAGTGGAACAACAAATCGATGTTTCTCCCTTCCTCCCTCTAAAACAAACAAACAAAAAAACAGTTTAAACTTTTTCTAAGAGATTTCCACAGCCAAAACAGAGGTCTGATCACACAGATAGAAGGTTTTTAAGAGAGCCCAGCAAGTGTGGCTCAGTGGTTGAGCGTTGATCCATGCACCAAGAGGTTGCAGGTTCGATTGCTGATCACAGCACATGCCCGGGTTGCAGGCTCGGTCCCCAACAGGGGATGTGCAGGAGGCAGATGATCGATGGTTCTCTCTCACATCAATGTTTCTTTCTCTTTTTCCTTCTCTCTAAAAATCAATAAAATTAAAAATAAATATAAATAAATAGAGGTTTTTAAGAAGACCCTGACCTTTGCTTTCATTTTTACCTAGAACATGGAACCAATCTAGCGAGTTTAAAATTAATTCTTGTTCTTTGATTAACTCTCCCATACCACACCATACTACCTCCGGATATGTAAACAACCTGTAAAATGAAAATGAAACGGCTCGATGTTTCACACGGTTTGACACTGGGCAATGATCAAGACCAACAGCCTGTTTTTCAGAGTCTGGCATTTCATTAAACAAAACAAATGAAGCATCAAAGGAAGATGAGAAGACTTCTAATGCCATTAGTAAGGGGATAAGGGAGTAAGAAAGTACAATGTTTACAGTCTTCTCAGTGAGGGAACCCAAGAATTCACAAGTACAAGTAACAAAAAAACTATTTACACATTCTGGAAGAAGCTTTAATGCTAGGATACGACCACTGAAATGTCAACATGCTACTGGTGAGGCTTCTCAGCTTTACAGAAACCTGTCTTACACAGGTGAAGAGCTTGAATAAAAAACAAGTTAATTATTTCAAAGAAATATTCTCATAGTTGCAATACATTAGTACAGTTTTATAATAATCAAAGGAGAACAAAATGTCCTTATCCATCAGTTAAGAGTATTTGGGAAATAATTACCATCATACGTATTTCCAAGCAGCTAAGCAAAAACAATTTACATTAGAAAAGTGTTTGATTTATATCTTGTATAAATAATTTCCCTCTATGAAATAGATATTTATTTTTACTGATTGATTTGCCTCCAGTGAACATGGAGCAGATTTTCTCAGGTGAAGTCTCAAGAGATAATGCTATCAATTGCTCTATTTCCCAATAACAACTGGAAATAAGCATGGTTTTTGTTTGGTTGGTTGGTTAACATTCACCTAAGGATATTTTCCATTGATTTTTAGATAGAGTGGAAGGGAAGGAGGGAGAGAGCAAAACACTGATGTGAGAGAGACACATTGATTGGTTGCCTCCTGCAAACCAGGGCCGAGGATCAAACCTGCAACCCCCAGGTATGTGTCCTTGATCAGGAATTGAACCTGAGACCCTTTGGTCCACTCTAACTGCTGAGCCAAACCAGCCAGGACAGAAATAAGCAGATTTAAGGGAGTAATATGATTCTGTTTGTTTCTGATTCTATCTACATTGAAACTTACTTTAATTATCCCAACTTAAAATTACTTTTATGTCGTATAAAATTAAAAACAGTTAAAAAAAAAATAGTCCTGCCCTGGCTAGTTAGGCTCAGCGGTTAGAGCGTTGACCTGCGGCCCAGAGAGACCCGGGTTCAGTTCCCACTAAGGGCACGTAGCTCAGTTGCGGTTTGTCCCCGGCCCTGGTTGGGTCATGTGGGTGGTAACCACTCGATATGTCCCTTTCACATCGATGTTTCTCTTTCTTTCTCTTCCTCCCACTCTATCTGAACAAAATATCGAAAAATGTCCTCAGGTGAGCTGACCTATTAAAAATGGACTAGAGGCCCAGCTGGTGTGGCTCACTGGTTGAGCGTTGACCCAGGCACCAAGAGCTCACTGGTTAAATTCCCGGTTGGGGCACATGCCCAGGTTGTGGGCCTGATCCCCAATAGGGCATGCAGGAGGCGGCCAATCAATGTCGATATTTCTATTTCTCTCTTCCTCTCCCTCTAAAATCAATAAAGAAAAAATATATATTTTTAAAATGGAATAACCCTGGCCAGTCTGGCTCAGCGGTTGAGCGTTGGCCTGTGGACCAGAGTGTCCCAGGTTCGGTTCCTGCTTAGGGGCACGTATCACAAAATAAATACATACATAAATAAATAAATAAAAATGGAATAGAGGACAAACCCATAGATTAAAAGAAACTTTAGAGACACGTCAACCAATCACAATGTATAAATCTTACTTGAATCCTGATTCAAACAACTATACCATGGGGAAAATTTAAACAGCAAATGGTTGCCCACCCAGTGTGGCTCAGTGGTTGAGCGTCGACCCATGCACCAAGAGGTTGCCAGTTCGATTCTCGGTCAAGGCTCATGGCCAGGTTGTGGGCCCAATCTCAGTACAGGGCATGCAGGAGACGGTCAATCTATGTTCTCTCTCATCGATGTTTCTCTCTCTCTCCCTCTCCCTTCCTCTCTCTCTAAAATCAATAAAAAAAAAATTTTAAGTGACTGGTTAATGATATTAAGAAATTGATCATCTTTAAGGTGTGACATCTCAATTAAAAATATTTTAAAATATTTTAGAGAGAGGAAGGGAGGGAGGGGAGCAAGAGAAACGTCAATTTCTTATTCCACTTATTTATACATTCATTGGTTGATTCTTATATGTGCCCTGACTAGGGATTGAACCCACAACCTTGATGTACAGGGATGATGCTCTAACCAACTGAGCCACACCTAACCAGAGCTTATAAAAATATTTTTTAAACAAGGAATCCTTATCTTTAAAAAAAAGAGTGTGTGAGCCCTGGGGCAGCGGTTAGAGGGTCGGCCCGAGGACCAATGAGTCTCGGGTTCGATTCTGGTCAAGGGCAGGCACCTCACTTGCAGTTCGTCCCCAGCCCTGGTTGGGTTGTGCAGGAGGCAACCAGTCGATGTGGCTCTGTCACACCGATGTCTTCCTCCCTCCCTCCCACTCTATCTGATGATAAATAGAAAAGTATCCTCAGGTGAGGATTAACAAAAAATAAAAACGATGATGATAATAATAATAAAAAGGTGATCTCTCAATTCTTTATGTTCAAATTCTAAATGAGCAGTTTGGGGTAGACATCCTCAATTTCAAACAGTGCTACTTTAATTATCTCTTTTATAATCAACTGTCCTAATATATTATACAAATGAGAAAAAAAAAATCGCTGAAAGTATCAATATCATATATGAATTCAAAAAAACACTAAACAGCCCAAAACTAAAATTATATAAATAAAATTTTTAATTGAGAAATAATTGTTTTCCACTCTTATACTCAATGTATCCAAATTCTTCACAAGCATCACCATCATCATTACTAGGTCCACTTTTAGAATTACCAGTTTTCTATAACTTTTATATAAAACAAGTATATAGCCTGGCCAGTGTGGCTCGGTGGATCAAGTTCCATGGACTGAGAGGTCCTGGTTCCATCTCCATTGGGGGGGCGTGTGGGTGGCAGCCAATAGATGTTTTTCTCTTTCATATCGATGTTTCTGTCTTTCTCTCCCTCTCTTTCTAAAAAAAAAAATCAATAAAAACATTAAAATATGTACATATGTTTTAAAATACTTTAATACATTTGATTATTTGTGCTATACTCCTAAAGGTTTATATATTCCAATTAACAAAAACTTTTCTTCTTAATATTCTCATCAGGAAAATGAAGGAATTCTCATATATTTGGGACAACCTCACACTGGTTTCTCCTTTTCCAAACAATTAAGTAAATTAGAACTAGTATTCTAAATTTACAAAGAACCAAGTTGATATACCAGAAAAACCAAATGAATGGGAATGAGAAGATTGGGATTCTAGTTTTTGTTCTTCTATTCACTGTCTGACCTTAAGTTACTCAACTTCTCTTAGCCTCAGTTTCTTTACCTATAAAATGGAGTATCACCGGGCCAGTGTGGCTCAGTGGTCAAGCGTTGACCCATGCACCCAGAGGTCCCCGATTTGATTCCTGGTCAGGACACATGCCCAGGTTGTAGGCCTGGTCCCCAGTGGGGGGCATGCGTGAGGTGGCCAATTGATGTTTTCTCTCATCAATGTTTCTACTATCTCTTTCTCCCTCTCCTTTCCTCTCTCTGTAAAAATCAATAAAGGAAAAAAAAAGGGGGGTATCATCAAACTAACTAGCTATTATGAAGGCCAAATGACTATGATGAAACTGTAAGCCAAAACACTATACAATTTATATCACATATATTCACAATGTAAAATAGTACCACTACTAATAATAAACTTGTCAAGAAATGCATTTCATTAAAAAAATTATGTCACTTCAAGGTAACAGATTTTTACCTTTATGGGTTCTTCAATATTTTGATATTCAAACAAAGGACAGACTCCCTACAAAATTTTACTTATAATTTCAAGGAATTCATAGGTCCTCTAGAGCAGTAATTCTCAAACGACCCACAGAGTCACTTTATGCAATGGGAAATAGTACTAATAAATAGGAGCATATTGTAAACATAATCCTTGTAAGTGCCCCACACACAAGGCTGAGAACCACTGTCCCAGAAGTTACGGTTCCCTACCTTAGAGTTTTATGAGATTTTGAAGGAAAAAATAAATCCCTGTGGGGTTTTATTGTTTTTGTTTTTAAATATGTTTTTATTGATTTTTAGAGAGAAGGGAGAGGGAGAGAGAAAGAAAAAAACATCAATATGAGAAAGAAGCAACTCCTGCACACCCCTTACTGGGAATTAAACCAGTAACCCCTTGGTGCAAGGGATGACATTCAACCAACTGAGCCACAATGGCCAGGGCATAAGTCCCTATTAAGAAAGGGTACTAAGTACAGCACAACCTGAACACATGAAATCAAATGTCTATCTGAAGAAAATACTTCTTAGATTGACCCTTTAGATCTACATAAATAGGCTGATTAAAATCAAAGCCCATATATCTAAAATAACTAATAATAACAATCCTGTTAGAAACCATGTTGACGGTTTCAGGGCAGTATTTCAGTAGCTGAAATTAAAAATGCCTCCACACCATACAAATAGAATTTAGGTAAAAATTAATATCAAAGGCAACACAGGCCCTGGCCAGTTTTGCTCAGCGGTTAGAGCGTCGGCCTCTGGACCAGAGAGGCCCGGGTTTGGTTCCCGCTAAGGGCACGTACCTCAGTCGCAGTTTGTCCCCGGCCCTGGTTGGTGTTGTGTGGGTGGCAACCAGTCGATGTGTCTCTCTCTTCCTCCCTCTCCCTCTCGCTCTAGCTGAAGATAAATGCAAAAATGTCCTCAGGTGAGGATTAAAAAAAAAAAAGGCAGCACAGAAGGGAAAAAGGAATAAAAGGCAACCTGCACCCAGAAAGGGGTATGCTATGGAAAGGGGCAATTCATCCACTTTCTTTTATTGGGAATTTCATTTTAGCAATCCTATTGTAAGAGTTGAGTAAATATGTATTAAACCCCTACTATACACATTAGGTGCTCTCTGAGACTACTAAGAGGAACTATATTGGTATTCTTCCCTCATTTTTTATTAATTTTTTTAAATCCTCACCAGAGAATTTTTTTAAATTTTTAAATAGAGAGGAAGGGAGAAAAACATCAATGTGAGACAGAAATATCGATCAGTTGCCCCCTGAACGTGCTTGACTGGGGATTGAACCCACAACCTAGGTATGTACCCTGACCAGGAATCAAACCCTCAACCTTTTGGGGTATGGGATGACAGTCCAACTACCCGAGCCACCTGGCCAGGACTGTAAAATTGCTTTAATTAATATTTTCTAAAAAAATTTCTCTAATTATGTATGGAGACAGATGTTAATTAGACTTGTGATCATTTTCCAACATCTACAAATATTGAACCATTATGTTGTACACCCAAAAAGAGTATGTTATGTCAGTTAAAACTCAATGAAAAAAAAAGAAGCCTAATAGGGATAAGACAAACATAAATAACTGTAATACTAGGTAGGCAGAATGTCAAGTAATGTGCTATGTGAATTCAGAGGAGGAAGAGATTACTTCTAAATGGTAAGATCAGGGATGGCTTGATAGAAGAAATAGCATTTAAATTATGCTTTGATGAATCAGGGGATGTGAGTATATAAAGATGAACCAGTAGGGTAAAATAATATGTTCCAAGCAGGAAAACTCTTAAGACTCTCTTTGGGTCATTCCAGGGATACCTAGATACAAGCAACATAAGGCTCCCAAAGAAGGACCAAAGTGCCCCATACTAAATACGGCTTTAAACCTTGAAACACCCAAGACACCACATGCCACAATTACAGGGTCCACAAAGCAGTTTTCCATTCGCTGGTATGCATGGCTGGAAGGTACAGTCCCCTCTAAACAAGATAAATTTAACCTATCCTAAATGAATATTTATCTTCTTAAATGCTTTGAAGTAATAAAACTCTTCACAGAAATGTTTACTGATGTTTAACAATTATTAAAATGTATATATAGTATTAAAAATATATAGTACACACTAAAAGATAAATTAATTTTCCTACTATAATTTGATCTCATTTTCTTTGGGAAAGACTAAGTATGATTCTCACAATGTTGTTTCATTTATTGTCTACATTTTTGGAAAAGAACATTTACACTTATAAGGAACTTTCAAGAGGAGCCCTGGATTGTTTTACAGATGTAAAAACCTATGGCCCAGAAGTTAAATGATCTCTCCAGGACTGTTAAAAAAATCCTCCATTAAGTTGAGCTTTGTCAAACGACTTTTCTCTTAGTAATATTTACAATGGTTTGTGTATACTGTCCTTAATTTTTGCATTAAATAACAACGCTCTCCTACCTAGAATCAAAAAGTTCCTTGAGTAAAGAAACATGAAAAATTAGGTTTCTGTTCTGCCCTTAATTATGTGACCCTGGATAAATCACTTAGTTGCTTCTTGAAATATCCCTAAATTAGAGGTTAGCTTATATGCAATCTAATGTGTTTTTGCATCTTTAACATTCTATAAGTCTAAGTATTTGAAAACTTGACAGCACCAGAAAATGCACACTACCTCTACTTCACACCCACTGCTCCAGTAGTAGTAGTTAAGTTACACTGGAATCATATTTTATATTAATGTTAAGCTGCTAGAAGGCAAACTGCCTAACCAAAACAAAGCATGTGTATATGTATATAGTACATATGTGTGAGATAGAGATGCCTATCATCCCTTCATCTCTAACAGTGATAAAGATCCAAGAATAATAGGTAGTAATTCAGCATTAATACATGCACAATGCTCTAAAGAAAAATGTCAAGGACATCCTCCAACCCCTAATTGCATCAGTATTCCCTACTTCCAGAATTAAATAGTTACTTTATCCTTCATAATTCATGATCATATTAAAGGTAGTTTCTACAACTGTCATAGAGGACCATTCTGTCTTTCCTGTTTGCATGAAGTAATTAGATAAAATCAGAGGGAAGATTAAAATAAAATCCAGACCAAATACAAAACCTAAAACTGGAAAAGTTCCTTAGTGAGAGTTTTAAGCTCATCACAAGTTTCTGTTCTAAAACAAAAGCTTATAGAGAATAAAAATAAAAGAACATCATTCTTAGCTTCTTCAGTGAACTTCCTATTTGAAGAATAAATAAATGGCAAATCAGTGGAAATTCAAGAAAATCATTTTCATTTTTTGCTGTCCTCTTTAACCACCACCAAAAAGATACATAAAGAATACAATGGCCTGCTGGTGTGGCTCAGTGGATGAGTGTTGTCCCATGGACTGAGAGGTCCCAGTTTGATTCATGGTCAGGGCACATGCCCAGGATGCAGGCCTGAACCCCAGTAGGGGGTGTGCAGGAGGCAGCTGATGATGTTTTTCTCTCACATCCATGTTTCTATCTATCTTTCTCTCTCTCTCTCTCAAAACAACAACAACAAACACAATAGCTGTGCAGTTACTATATTATATATGAAAAGGGGGGCAATAATAACCCCCTAATTGGGAACAGTTCTTACTGTGCAGGATTTCAGTTTCTCCCTCATGATGTGTAGGTCAGCCATACAAACCCAAATCTAGCTTTCTAATAACTAAGAACTTTTGGGAACTGAATTTAATGTGATTACTTATATTTAATGTGGACACTATAGTAAGCTTACTCATTGCCTATACTGAATAAACAAGAAAACAACAGCACTCTGTAGAAAAGTAAAGATTTTACAGATTGGTACTACCGTGAGACTTGATATCAAGTCAGGGCACTGCCTGGGTTGCAGGCTTGATCCCCAGTAGGAAGCATAAAGGAGGCAGCCGACTGATGTTTCTATCTCTCCCTCCCTCTACCTTCTTCTCTCTAAAAACAAAAAACAAAATCAATTTAAAAAAGAAAAGAACTGACTATAATGATACTTGACAGATGCTAAGAATGTAAGAATATGTTCGGATTAATTTGCAGAAAACTAGGGGAAAAAAAACGGTATCTTTTGTACTTCATTTTCTTTTTCAAAAATATGTTTTTATTGGTTTCTTAGAGAGAGATAGAAACATTGATGTGAGAGAGAAACATCAATTGGCTGCCTCCTACTCCCCCCTACTGGGGATGGAGCCCACCACCCAGGCATGTGCCCAAGAGTGGAACTGGGGAGTTCTCCAGTCCTTATGACCAGCCAGCCCACTGGGCCACAGCAGCTGGGCGTGAGCGTGTTTCTGCACTTGTTCATTCACTTCTCTACTAGGACTTCACAGCATAGACCACTTTGTTCTAACCTCAGTGACTGAAGCCAAAGGGCACCTATTTTTCATAAATCAGCCGGCATCTACAACTTACTCTGAAATGCATTTTTAAAAGATGTATAGAGGGATGGATGGATGATTAGATGTGTGATAAAACAAGTACAACGAAATGTTAATTAGAGAATTTAGCTGGTTATATGGTGTTCACAATAAAGTTCAACTTCTCTAGATGTTTAAAACAAGTTTTAGATCCAAAATATCTTGTAAAATGTCACCTTATTTGGACATTTTTACTGTCCAGGGATATCTTCATAAAGGAATAGGATCCAAAAAACAATACATGGAAATAATAATTATCTTAAGACTTAAAGGAGCAGAATCTACTGAGATGCTGTTCTTCAGAATACACAAATCTGTGGGTATCTAGATCATACCAAGTCCCAAATAATTCAGAAATAGATGCATATCTGAACGACACAGCTGTATGTATATGCACGTGTCCAAATAACATGCAGATTTTATAGCTTATGTTTATCATTCACACCTAGAACTTTACCATCCCTTGGTTATCAATGAATTAAAAATAGAATGGGTCCCCAAATAGCATCATTTCATTCAAGATCATTCTGTTAAAATGTTGATGAGAGGCCATGAGAACTTACCTGTTTGTATCATGTAATCTACAGGAAAATAAACGTTTCATTACGTCATTTCACTTCAAATCCCAGATTCTACCGACAGTAAGTGAGGAGTTACTGTACTAAGTTCCAAAAACTTCTCAACATCTCTTGGTAAAGATGATCCATATTTGGTTTACATAACACAAGGCTTTAACTTCGCTATTAACAAGTAGGGCAGGCTCTAAACTGCACGACAAATACAACCAGGATGCAAAAGGAAAAGTTTAAACATCACAATCCAAAAACTGAGCCTCCTAGTGGAAATGAAAAAAAAGGGAGATTTTGGAAATGTTATGTCCAACACTAAAGTTTTATGCGGCTACCGTGCTTGATGCAATGTCTATGCCTGAAGCTGAAAACAAAACAAAACAAAACAAAACAAAAAACGCTTTTCCGTGTTCACGTAAAGCCCGAGCAGAAGTCCCCACCCACGTTCTCCCTTAAAGGCCGCCAGCAGAACGCGGTAGGGCTGGCACCAGATCACCGTGTCACCTCCGCAGTGTGCGGGGAGATCCGCCACGCAAGTGAGCGATCGACTAAGGAAGGAAACACGACAAAACTTCGCACAGCAGGCTCGGGCCGCCGGCGCACCGGAGAATGAATGGCCGGCCCGCCCGGGGCCAGCGTCCCTCCCCCCTCGTCCGGTCCGCAAACCCGGCGCGGAGCAAGGTCCGCGGGGCCAGCAGTGCCTCTGCCCGGCCGCCCGCCCTCCTGCCCTGGCCCCGCCACGGACGAGCCCCGCGTCCGGAGGCCGGCGACAGGTCCCGGGTGTCCCCCGCCCGCCCGACACCTCCTGCAGACCCGAGGCCCGTGTTCTCGCGGCTCGTCCCGCTCCCGACGCTCGACGCGCTCCGCCGGGGCCGCGTCCCCGACCCGCGGCGACACGCCGTCTGCAGCAGCGGGCCGCGCCTCGGGGGCCCCGGGTCGGCCGGCCCGGCCCCAAGTCGCTCCTGCCGGCTCGCGGCCGCCTTCCCACCGGCCCGGGTGCCCCGGCCGCTCGGACAAAGCAGCGCCGGCGCCGAGGCCCGGGAGCGCGGGCAGGAGGGCCTACAGCGCCGAGGACGGCCGGCGAGCCCGCTTCGGGGCGCAGGGCACGCCCGGGGGCCGCCCGCTGGGCCCCGGCGCCCCGAGGGCCGGCCGGACGTCCGCGCGGGGCCCGGGGGAGCCCAGAGAGGGTCTCGCGGAGCGACAGCCGCGGCCGGTCCCAGGGCCGGCGGGGCCCACGGGTGGGGGAGGGGCGTGCGCACGCCGACAGGGCCTGCGGTCAGCCCCGCGGGCCTCCGGGGGTCGGGCCCAGGGCTGCCCCGAGCCGCGAGGAGGCCGGCCCGGCGCGGGGAGGGGCTCTCCGGCCCCGGCAGCAGGCCGCCCGGCGGGGAGAGCGGCGGGCGGGCGGAGGGAGGCGCGCCCGGCCGGGCCTTACCATGGCGAGGACGGCGGTGGGGCGCGCTCGCGCTCCGGCTCCACGGGCGCTCGGGCTGCGGCCAGGGCCAGGGGAGCGCCGGCAGCTGGGAACCTCTGCCCCTGACAGGCGCCGCGGCCGCTTTCCCTCTCGCCAAGATGGCGGCCCGAGCCACGTCTCCAACCGGAAGCGGCGCGGGTCAAAGGGCGGGGGGCGGGGCCACGGGGGGCGGGGCGCAGAGGGCAGGCTGGAGGCCGGGCCCCCGAGGCGAGGGCTCGCGGAGCCCAGGGACCGGGCGCTTCGGCCCCTTCTCCTCTGCCGGCGCCCTCGTTTAGTTCGTGACGCTCCGACCGCTTCTGAGCCTCTCACAGGCGTGTCGTTTACTGTAAACACCACCTGTGGCTCGAGGGATCGTGTCCAGTTGTGTCCACCACGCTTACAACTAACAGTCGGACAAATAAGCCGATTTCTAAATGGGCAAAGGAGACGTTGCTCCCCAGGATGTGTATGTGGCCTATAAGCACATAAACGATAAGCGACAGCCCACCGGTGTGGCTCAGGGGTTGAGCGTCCACCCTGCACCCAGAGGTCGCCGGTTCGACTCCGGGTCACGGCACACGCCCAGGTTGTGGGCCTGATCCCCATGGGGGGCGTCCAGGAGGCGGCCAGTCCATGTTCTCTCTCATCCGTGTTTCTCTCTCTCTCCCTCTCGCTTCCGCCCTCTCTAAATTAATAAAGAAAAAAATTTGTTTTCAATAAATACATAAAAAATAAAAGATGCTCAGCATCCTTAGGGAAATGCAAAACAAAACCGCAATGAAATACCACCTCACACCTGCTAGGATGGCTATAATAACAATGTTGGTGAGAATGTGGAGAAAATAGAAGCCTCATACGCTGCTGGTGAATGTGAAATAGTCACCCTATGACCCAGAAATTCCACTGCTTGGTATATATACCCAAGAAAATTAAAAACATGTCCACACAAAAAAGTGTACACTCGTGTTTATAGAAGCATTATTCATAACAGCCCCAAAATAGAAACAATCCAAATGTCCATAATAGCTGAATAGATAATAAAATGTTACTCGATGGAGTATTACTCAGTCATGAAAAGGGATAAACTATTCATACATTAGACGCCATGGACAAACCTTGAAAATATTACGTTAGCCCTGGCCAGTGTGGCTTACTTGGTTGGAATCTCTCTCTCTCTCTCTCTCTCTCTCTCCACTTCCTCTCTCTAAAATCAATTTTTAAAAGAAAAAATATATATTATGTTAAGTGATAGAAGCCAGTCACAAAAGACCACATCTTACATGATTTCATTTATGATATGCCCAGAATAAGCAAATTCATAGAGATAGAATGTAGAGCTGTAAGGGGGTAGGAGAGGGGAGGAATGGGGAGTGAGGTTTGTTTTTTGGAGTGATGAAAATGTTCTGGAGTTGGATAGAGTTGATGATTACACAACTTTGTGACTGGTAGTACACTTTAAAAGGGTAAATTTTTGTGGCTTGTAGATTACCTCTTTTTTTTTTTTTTTCCTGAAGTGTGCAGGAATCATGACAGTTAGTACACATATTATAGGTAAAGAAAATGATGACAAGTTTAAGAAATTTACCCAGCGTTCTAGGCCAGTATATAACTAAAGCAACTGTCAAATCCAGTCTTCTGATTCTGGTAGTTTGCCCATGCCAAATGTCAGACTTCAAGCATGCATGATTCAGCAATTCTCCCTATATTATGTCACTATATCATTTTATCCCATATCACTGGCTACCTCGACAGCACTCATTCACTGCTGCAGTAACGGATGAACAGCAAACTTTTATTGAGGGCTTTTTAAAATTATTATGTATATAGCCCTGGCCAGCTTGGCTCAGCAGTTGGAGCGTCGGCCTGCAGACCAGAGAGTCCTGGGTTCAGTTCCTGCTAGGGGCACGTACCCAAAAATAATAATAATAAATAAATAAAAGTAAAATTATTATGTATTGATTTTAGAGAGAGAAGGAAGAGATGAGAGAGAGAGAGAAACATCAATCTGTGGTCCCACTATTTATGCATTCACCGGTTGATTCTTGTATGTGCCCTGATCGAGGCTCTAACCTGCAACCTTGGCCTATCGGGATGACACGCTAACCAACTGAGCTACCTGGCCAGGGCATGAGTACGTATTTGTGTCGGGTACTTTACACGTGTTCTTTTGTATCCTTTGCAACAATCCAGGTAAGGACACTGAGGGTCACAGAAGTTAAGCACTTACCCAGGTTCACAGGGCCAGTAAAGGGGAGAACCTGGATTCAAACTCAGCTTTTCTCATTGTGACACACCTGCCTCTCCGCATCTCCTGCGTATTCCTTAATGTTTCCTGAGCACTCACGGTATACCAGGCATTGCCCTAAATTCTCCACACAGATTGTCTCATTCAGTCCTCACGAGAACTCTCGAAGAGAGGAGCCATCAGTATCTTTATCTTACAGGTGGAGAAACCAAGGCACAAAGAGGAAAACCAATCTGCTCCAGGTCTTGGGGCAAGAAAGTAGCAAAGCTGGGATTGGAACAAAGACTGCTCAACTTCGGAACCTGTACCCTTAAGCCCTGCCCTCTAGAATCTTCACTCGTGCTCATTTCAAATCTGTTTCCAGTGGCTTGTAGTAGAATCATTGCAAAGCTTCCATATTTTAACATTTGGCATATCGGAAAGGATATAAGTCAAATTGTATTGTTTACTTTTGTTGTAAAAAGTACACATTTTATCAAAAAGATGAGCAAGTTCTTTTTTTTTTTTTTTTTAATCCTCACCCGAGGACATTTTTGCATTTATCTTCAGACAGAGCGGGAGGGAGAGAGGGAGGAAGAGAGAGAGAGAAACATCAATGTGAGAGAGACACATCCACTGGTTGCCACCCACACAACCCCAACCGGGGCGGGGACAAACTGCAACTGAGGTACATGCCCTTAGTGGGAACCGAACCCAGGTCTCTCTGCTCCGCCGGCTGATAAAGATGAGCAAGTTCTTAATTTTTAAATCTTTATTGTTGAAAGTATGACAGATATCCCTCCTTTTTTCCACCATTGACTCCCTCCTCCCCACTCCCACTCCCCATCCTAAGTTCTCAATGTTTAAAAAAAGTAAAATTCACCCGGCCAGAAAGTGGCTCAGTTGTTAGAGCGTCGTCCTGTATCATCCTGTGCACCAGAAGGTTGCTGTTTCGATTCCTGGTTAGGGTACATACCTGGGTTTCAGGTTCAATTCCTGGTCAGGGCCAGTACCAAAGGCAACGGATCAAAACATCTCATATCGATGTTTCTCTCTGTCTCTCTGCCTACTCCTTCCTCTCTCTAAGCATGCCCTTGGGTGAAGATTAAAAATAATAATAACAATAATAATAATAATAATAAACCCTGGCCAGTGTGGCTTGGTTGGTTGAACACCGTCCTGTGCACTGAGAGGTCACAGGTTCCTGTCAGAGCACATGCAGGGTTGTGGGCTCCTTCCCCTGTAGGGGGTGCAGCCAACTGCTCTTGCATCCATGCTTCTCTCTCCCTCTCCCTTCCTCTCTCTCTAAAATTCAATAAAAATATTTTTAAAAATTATTGTATAAAAAATAAGTAAATAAATAAATAAAAGTAAAAACCACACCTGGAATTATTGTTTCATTGTGAAGGCATCCAGGCCCTTCAGTGTGGACCACCAAAGCTCTCAAAGACCCACTGACACCAGTTCTTTGGAACTAGGACATCAGCTGAATTAAATTGTATAAGAAAAGCACCCCTGCAAGCGAGCTTTGTGAGGAGCGCCTTAGAGACAGCATGTCACAGTGGTTAAAAGCAGAGACTTGGGATTCCATTGACCTGCATTTGACTCCCGTTTTTGGCACTTACTAGCTGAATGACTTTAGACCGTTTCCTTCCATTCTTCTGAGCCTCAATGACCTAATTTGTAAATTGGCAGCAACATCTATCTCATAAGGTTGTGAAGTAGATGTTATATTATTAATAAATACAATTATATAATCTAAGTGCTTCTACATGGAACACGCTCAACAATACATAACCATTAGTAACAGATGACAAAAACATTTTTAAATGTTTTGCAAGTTCTATTTTTAAACAGAAGCGTCTCAGAAGAGGTGTCTCTCACTTTCCTTTCTTCAAAATTTTTTTTATATTTATTAATTTGAGAGAGAGAGAGATTTTGTTGTTCCACTTATTTATGCATTCATGTATGTGCCCTGACCAGGGACCTTGGGTATAAGTATGATGGTCTAACCAACTGAGCTACCTAGCCAGTGCTCTTTTTCTTTTTTAAAACCACTTTGACACTTTCCTCTGGCAGGTTTTCAGGGTCAAATTTTCAATATTCTTTAAAAGAATTTTTTTTTCTTTATTGATTTTTAGAGAGAGAGGAAGGGAGAGGGAGAGATGGAAACATTGATGAGAGAGAACATCGACTGGCTGCTTCCTGCATGACCCCCCCTGGGGATTTGGCCTGCAACCTGGGCATGTGCCCTGACCCAGAATCAAACTGGTGACCTCTTGGTGCATGGGTCCACACTCAGTCACTGAGCCACACCAGCTGGGCTCCAATATTCTTTTCTTTGTTTCTCTCTCTCTCAGACTCCCAAAAGTAACTATGTCTGTAGTTTTGAAATATTTGTTCCTTACATCTTCATTCATTCATTCACCCACACCCAATGAGTACTTTTTTTTTTTAATCCTCACCCGAGGACCGAGGACATTTTTCCATTTTTTGTTCAGATAGAGCGGGAGGGAGAGAGAGAGAGAGAAACATCGACGTGAAGGGACACATCAAGTGGCTGCCACCCGCACGACCAACCAGGGCCGGGGACAAACTGCAACCGAGGTACATGCCCTTAGCAGGATCCAAACCCGGGTCTCTCTGTACCGCAGGCCGACACTCCAACCGCTGAGCCAAACTGGCCAGGGCCCAACCAGGGCCCAATGAGTACTTTTATTTTATTATTTTATTTTTTTATTTATTTATCCTCACCCGAGGATATTTTTCCATTTTTGTACAGATAGAGTGGGAGGGAGAGAGAGGAAGAAACATCGACGTGAAGGGACACATCGAGTGGCTGCCACCCGCACGACCAACCGGGGCCGGGGACAAACTGCAAACCGAAGTACGTGCCCTTAGCGGGAACCGAACCCGGGTCTCTCCGGACCGCAGGCCGACGCTCTAACCGCTGAGCCAAACTGGCCAGGGCCCAATGAGTACTTTTAAAGCACCGAATTTAGGCAGTACGTTGAGACTATGAAGATCTTAAAATTAATTAGACACAGACTCTGCCCTATAGAAGCTCAGTCTTCTTTAGCTAATAAAAATACAGCAGGTTAAACTGGACTCTCAGATAAATAACGAACAATTTGTTAGTATAAGTATGTCCCATGCAAAGGGATACCGTGGAGGGGAAGGACTATAATGAAATACAAACGCTAAAATGGACGTACAAAGAGTTGTGGGACAATTCCTTAGAGATTTTGCTTGAGAACTGATTAGGAGGAATTGCAGGACCAATGCTCCTTGTCCTAGGGGGGAACACTCGAGTATTTCTGCATGAACCGAAATTCACCACGCAGCGTTGCCCGCCGCGGCCGCTAGATGCCGCCCGAGACGCGGTTACTGAGACCATAGAAACAGGCGACCCGGTCGCCCAGAGCGGCTCTGTCCGAGCCGCTCTTGATTCGTGGAGCCTTCGATGGAAGAGCCTTGAAGTGCCGGTGAGCAGAGAAGGTCTCACGAGAGTGAGAGCAAGTCCCGCGATATTTCGATTTATTTATTTCTTTCTTTGTACCCAGCGGCGGACAACAGGCGGTGTCCGCAGGTAGAGTCCTTGCCGTGGCCTGGCCGGAGACTGGAGGGCGACCCCAGCCGTAGGCCGGGGTTCTCTCCAGATAGAGGAGACGGATCCAGAGGGGCTGCAGGTAACTTCCCCCCTCCTAGCAGGAAGAACCGCCTCTCGCACTCCCAGGAGGACTTGAGGGGACCCCTCCTCCTTCCAGCCCCCCCCCCATCTTTCTCGTCTCCATGACAACTGTTCCTTGAATCACTTCTTGCGCGGCGCCACGCGTCATCTGGCTCCTTTTACTCCCCAAGAAACTCAAGGGAAATCCGACCTGCAAGACGGGGGGGTGGGGGTTGGAGATGGGGGTGCTGCTTTAGGGTTTGTTGGATGGGACTGAGAAGCTGGAGTTTCCCCTCTTTTTGGTCAACGAGGTAACCCCAGAGACGGGCACAGCCTCCCCCGAAAAAGCGCGACAGCCTGGGGAAAGCTGGTGGAACCCCCGGACAGAGCTGCCATCCACAGACTGACGCCCATGCAGGGGGACCTTAACAGCTTTGGGGGGCCGGTGCGGAAGTTAGCCGTGGTTTCCCAGCGCGATTCCCTCCCTCCTCCGCCAGCCGCCCGCGGTTCCTCGGTAAAGGCCGCAGCAGGGGGACATAACTGCTTGACCCAGGGCCAAGAAGCCCTAAGGAGAGTTGGAATGGGAGTGAAAGTTCATGTAAAATTGGTTTCTGGGGTAAGGAAGAGGATCACTGCTGGATTAGAATTTCACCTCTCCACGGAGTGTTTGTTTATTATTGTTTTGTTTTGTTTTATCCTCACCCGAGAACAGTTTTTCATTTTTTGTTCAGATAGAGCTGGAGGGAGAGAGAAGAAGAAAGAGAGAAACATTGACGTGAAAGGGACACATCGAGTGGCTGCCATCCCCACGACCCAACCAGGGCCGCAGACAAACTGTAACTGAGGTACATGCCCTTAGCGGGAACAGAACCCTGGTCTCTCCGGACCACAGGTCGACGCTCTAACTGCTGAGCCAAATCGGCCAGGGCTTTTTTTTTCATTATTAAAATTTTTTTTTTCTTTTATTGATTTTAGAGAGGAAGGGAGAGGGGGAGAGAGAGAAACATCAATGAGAGAGAACATCCATTGGCCGCCTCCTGCACGCCCCCCTACTGGAGTCGGGTCCCACAACCCCAGGCATGTGCCCTGACTAGGAATCGAACTGGTAACCTCTTGGTGCATGGGTCAGTGCTCAACCACTGAGCCACACCAGCTGGGCTATTGATATATTTTTGTTATAGATGTTTCTCCTCCCCTCCCCCCCCCCCCCCCCCCCCGCAATCCAGGGAGTGTTTAATGTCCCATAATAAGAGCCATGTCATTATGTCTCCTTTTGCTTAGACCAAGATTGTTGAAAACCAGACGTACGATGAGCGTCTAGAGATCAACGACTCTGAAGAGGTTGCAAGTATTTGCACTCCATCCCCAAGATACAGAGGTATGAGAGGAATGAAGAGGAAAGAAAGAAGGAAATAAAGGTTCTCAGGACAAAGAGCAGGATGGATTCATGCTTGTCTCCAAGAAATTCCTCTTCGTCAAAGCTCATGTTCACCTTCAGAGCAAGTTACTTCACTTGCCTTGGTTTCCGTTTTCCAACTGGTTAAGGGAGAAGAAATCGTAGCCTCCCAGGTTGTGGGGTCTTCTTCCAGCCTGATCAATGTTCCCGACCATCTGCTTTATGATAGTGCTCTGTTCTCAGTCCGCGGCGGGGATTCATTTGTTGTTTTTTTATACTTATAAAAACTGTTTTGCTCATTTTTTTCTTTTTTTATCCTCACCCGAGGACATTTTTCCATTTTTTGTTCAGGTAGAGTGGGAGGGAGAGAGAGGAACAGAGAGAGAGAGAGAGAAACATCGATGTGAAAGGAACACATCGAGTGGCTGCCACCCACAGGACCAACCAGGGCCAGGGACAAACTGCAAATGAGGTACGTGCCCTTAGCGGGAACCGAACCCGGGTCTCTCAGGACCGCAGGCCGACGCTCTAACCGCTGAGCCAAACCGGCCAGGGCTGTTTTGCTCATTTTTGAAGATGCTTTACTAACCTGCAATTCAATCCCAATAAAAACATCAATGGAATCTTTTTTTTTTTTTTTTTTTTTTAATCCTCACCAGAGGACATTTTTCCATTTTTTGTTCAGATAGAGTGGGAGGGAAAGAGAGGGAGGGAGAGAGAAAGAGAGAGAAAGAGAAAGAGAGAAACATCGACGTGAAAGGGACACATCGAGTGGCTGCCACCGCACAACCCAACCATGGCCGGGGACAAACTGCAACCGAGGTACGTGCCCTTAGCGGGAACCAAACCTGGGTCTCTCCGGACCGCAGGCCAACGCTCTAACCGCTGAGCCAAACCGGCCAGGGCAATGGAATCTTTTTAAGAGGACCTGACACCATCATTTCCTCAACAGTGCAAATTTTTTTTTTTATCCTCACCCAAGGACATTTTTCCATTTTTTTGTTCAGATAGAGTGGGAGGGAGAAAGAGAGAGAAACATCGATGTGAAAGGGACACATCGAATGGCTGCCACCCGCACGACCAACCAGGGCCGGGGACAAACTGCAACCAAGGTACGTGCCCTTAGCGGGAACCGAACCCGGGTCTTTCTGGACTGCAGGCCAACGCTCTAACCACTGAGCGAAACCGGCCGGGGCTGTTCAGAATATTTTTGTTGCTTTATGGGTACTGATTCAAATTTATATTTGTGACTATTCATTTGACAGGAACTGGGGTCAGTTTCTTTCATCGAAGTTTTTTTCATTTGATCCGTACAGCAGTCCTGAGTGGGAAGTACTACTGACCTCATGTAGAGGTGGGAATACTGAGACTCAGAGAAGTTAAGTCATTTTTTCCAAGTGATAGAATTATCCTTTCAACTCAGTATTTTGACTATAAATTCAGCACCCTTTTCACTTTACTAATTACTGACCTCATTTTGCCGATGTTTAAACTGAGGGCAGACTTTGTATTGTTTATGTAACAGCAGATAATCAGTTGGCACAAGGTCCAGCTCAGTGCCTGAGGCGCGGAAACGCTTGGTGAATACATGCTGACTTGAGGTGACAGAACCGTGGCTAGAGTTCAGCTCCTGTCTAGATAGGTGTTCGTATAAACCGTGTTTCATAAAGTGGTCAGCTTACAAAATATTATAAGCTAAAAATATCTGTCCTTAAAAGTTATTTTAACAATAACCTAAAGGGAAAACTTCTCTTCGAAGGACTTACTCATTCTGCCCGTCTTCCAAACAAGACCATGGCCGATAACAGCAGTGATGAGTATGAAGAGGAAAATAACAAGGTGCAGTACAGCTCACTTCTTGTGCATTTTCTGCTCCGGTGTTTTAGTGGTTAGAGATGACACCAGTTCAATCGTAGATGTTTCTCGAATATTCACCTCCAGTGGCTGGGTACCTTTGAGCTCCTGGAGGACAATCAGGAAGAAGGAGCCTTAGATTTTGACTCTCCTTCAGGAATAAAGAACACTTATAGCTGACTTTTAAAAAAGATTTTTTCATTGATTTTTAGAGAAAGAGGAAGGCAGAGGGAGAGAGAGAGAGAGAGAGAGAGAGAAACATTGTTGTGAAAGCAAAACATTGATCAGCTGCCTCCTGCTCACCCCCTACTGGGGATCAAGCCCACAACCCGGGCATGTGCCCTGACCGGAATCAAACCAGCGACCTTTCTGTACACAGGACGATGCCCAACCAACTGAGCCACACCGGCCAGGGCTACAGCTGACTTTTTGGTGAGGAATTTCATATAATGTAGGACAATGTTTTGCAAACTTTACTGATCATATGATTCAACTGGGGACACTTAATTTTTTAAAATGCAGATTCCCAGTCCCCACCCAGAACTACTGAATCAGAGTCTTAAAGGTAGAAGCCTGGGAATTTATATTTTTAGCAAGCATTCCAAGTAATTTTCTTTTTTTTTTTTGGTACGTGCCCCTAGCGGGAACTGAACCCAGAACTCTTTGGTCCGCAGGCCGATGCTCCAGCCGCTGAGCCAAACAGCCAGGGCCCAAGTAATTTTCTTAATAAAGCAAGTTTGGAATTATTGTTTTAGGCATTTGTTTATTGTCACCACTTCTGATACTGCCAATATCTTGTGAAAGAGACTTCAGTTTTAAAGTCTTAAGTCCCAGATGTCACTTACTGTTCTATGAACCTAGAGAGTCATCCTGTTTCTGAGCGAAAGACAGAAAGAGCCTGCAGCTCTAAGCCCGATGAGGCCTTAAAGTTACACACGTGCTCAGTTGAACAACCATTGTGTTCAGCCTTAGCACATGGTCCAGTGGTTATTAGTTGTCCTTTAAGAACAGCTTTAAAAACTCTGGTGAAGAAGAATATTTGAAGCAGTGAAGAAAGCGTTAGTGATAGAGAGCGATTTCATAGAAAGCTTGACAGGTAACATTTCAGGGTAGCCCCACTTTGTGAGTGGTGTGCTGTTCTAACCTCTAACCCACGCAGCCATTTTTCAGGCATATGTCTGTAGTATATAAAGTCCTCTGCCTTTCAATCAGGGATTTTGCAAAGCACAATGTTGAAGAAGCAGACAGAAGAAAAGTGAACAGTTTTCCTAAATTGACTTTCTAATTTTATTTTATTTTTAAAAAATATTTTAAAAATTGATTTTAGAGAGAGAGGAAGGGAGAGAGGTAGAGAGATAGAAACATTAATGAGAGAGAAACACCCATTGGCTGCCTCCTGCACGCCCCCTACTGGCAATGACGCCTGCAACCCGGGAATCGAACCAGCGACCTCTTAGTGCATGGGTTGATGCTTAACCACTGGGCCACACTGGCTGGGCTGACTCCCCAATTGTATAGTCTTCATCATGATGTGGTCAATATTCAAGGCTCATTTATGTTTCCCATTTAGTATGCACTCAAAGTTAGCAGAGAGGATCAATATTTGAATAATCTTTAAATTGACAATCAGTATTCTTAAAAAGCTCCCTTTGCCAAACTGCTTCTCATGTAACCAAGGATAATTTTGGCGGATTTTGAATTAAGAGAGACTGTAGGAGACTTGTATCAATTATATACCAGTAAGGCATCGTCACTGAGTAAATTCTGTGACTATGTGTCATCTGTCACACATGCTATGGATTAGTTAGAATATATTTTCATCTGTGTACAATAAATCTGTGTTTTGCTTAGAGGAAAATGTGACCAAAAGCAGTTTTTGATGTCCTGTAATGTGTCACAATGTTACGTGCCAGGAGCTGCTTTACAGGGAAAGAAATGTGAGCTAGTTTAAAAACCAGCGCCGAGATCTGTTAACCTCAGTATGAGCCACATAGCATATGGAGACCAGGCTTTCAAAACCTCCTTTTAAAGGGGGCCAATTGGTCATCCTTCAGGTCCTAAGTGAGGGCACTCCACAGGCTCCAGGCCACAGAGGCAAAGACATGGACCCCATCCCAACTGCCCCTGCCAGCCCCAAGCACCACCAGACCCCTTCTCACGGACTTGCGAGGGTGGGATGGTACATAGAGAACCTGAAGCTCAGAAAGGTAGGTTGTGATGCCCGTAACAGAAGAGTCTCTCATCTTGAGATACAGTGTATAGTCATTGCATCTTCTATTTTTTAAAATTAGTGATTGATTGATTGATTTTAGAGAGAAAGAAACAGTGGTTTGTTACTCCACCCATTTATGTACTCATTGGCTGATTCTTGTATGCACCCTGAACAGGGATGGAACCTGAAACCTTGGTGTATCAGGATGATGCTCTAACCACCTGGGCCACCCCGCCAGGGCCTAGTCATTGCATCAGACTTATGGGGGACGGGAAGGGACATTTGGATCGGTTAGATGCCCTTTGAAGAGAATGAAATAGAAAGCCCATAGTCTCTGGAATGCTGGTCAGAGTTCAGATGGGGGTTGATTATGGATTTTCTCCTTTTGATAGTTAACAAGCAGCTTGCTCAGGGCAGTCTTGTAAATTAAATACTAATTTTCTCCCTGTGGTCTTTGTGAGTATTAAGATCCCCTGAGGTGTCTTCCCACTTCATTTCCCCCCATTTCCTTCCAAAATAACAATTTAGAGTTGCCTGTCTCCAAAGGTCCATAAGTTTTAGAGTGGAATCTACTGAATAGTTTGTGCAGAGGTCTCAGGATGTCCTAAGTAACAGGTAAAATAGATACATAATGGGTAAAATTTATACCCAAACCTTAAGCAGATAAATAGAACATGGTTCTAGAAAGTGGGGACCCTGTCTGTTGTAAGCAGGAGCAGAAGACAGTTCTTGAGGCCCTTCTGGGGGGTGCTACCTTCTCTCTGGCGATGTGGTGCCAGGCTGGGAGGGTACTGGGCATAGCTGCACTGAACTTTTCCTTGTATGGCCTTTCTATGCCTACTCTGCCCTGTCTCAGGAGAAGAAGAAGACATTGCAGCTGGCACCTCAACACGGCTTTAGTGAAAACGATGATGATGATGATGACGACGACTCATCTGAAACCGATTCCGACGAAGAGGATGATAATGAAAGGCATGGAGCCCCTCTGGAAGGGTGAGGGAAGCACCCCTGACGAGGAGGAGGACACCTTCAGAACATGGCCTCGGAGGACACCAGTCAACAGTGAAATTCCAGCATCTCTTTTGCTCCCTATTTAGGATTTTCAGATGTTTCAGAAACCCAGCTTAATCAGTTTCCATGTTTTTCCAGTTCCATGGTCTCCTCGAGGCTCATGGTGCCGCCTGCACCGTCTGAAACGTGCGTGGCTCTGGGATCACGGAGAGTGTTGAGTGAACCTGGAAGGTGGCCCCTGACTTCAGGGGGTCACGTCCTGGAGAAGAGAGAACAGATTTATGTGTTAACAAGGGAGACCTGCCTGGACAGGAGTAGAGAACACGGACAGGCAGAGAATAGGTACTTCAGGGTCACCACATTGAGCATTTCTGTTAACAAGGGAGACCTGCCTGGACAGGAGTAGAGAACATGGACAGGCAGAGAATAGGTACTTCAGGGTCACCACATTGAGCATTTCTGTTAACAAGGGAGACCTGCCTGGACAGGAGTAGAGAACGTGGACAGGCAGAGAATAGGCACTTCAGGGTCACCACATTGAGCATTTCTGTTAACAAGGGAGACCTGCCTGGACAGGAGTAGAGAACATGGACAGGCAGAGAATAGGTACTTCAGGGTCACCACATTGAGCATTTCTGTTAACAAGGGAGACCTGCCTGGACAGGAGTAGAGAACGTGGACAGGCAGAGAATAGGCACTTCAGGGTCACCACATTGAGCATTTCTGTTAACAAGGGAGACCTGCCTGGACAGGAGTAGAGAACACGGACAGGCAGAGAATAGGTACTTCAGGGTCACCACATTGAGCATTTCTGTTAACAAGGGAGACCTGCCTGGACAGGAGTAGAGAACGTGGACAGGCAGAGAATAGGCACTTCAGGGTCACCACATTGAGCATTTCTGTTAACAAGGGAGACCTGCCTGGACAGGAGTAGAGAACATGGACAGGCAGAGAATAGGTACTTCAGGGTCACCACATTGAGCATTTCTGTTAACAAGGGAGACCTGCCTGGACAGGAGTAGAGAACACGGACAGGCAGAGAATAGGTACTTCAGGGTCACCACATTGAGCATTTCTGTTAACAAGGGAGACCTGCCTGGACAGGAGTAGAGAACATGGACAGGCAGAGAATAGGTACTTCAGGGTCACCACATTGAGCATTTCTGTTAACAAGGGAGACCTGCCTGGACAGGAGTAGAGAACGTGGACAGGCAGAGAATAGGCACTTCAGGGTCACCACATTGAGCATTTCTGTTAACAAGGGAGACCTGCCTGGACAGGAGTAGAGAACATGGACAGGCAGAGAATAGGTACTTCAGGGTCACCACATTGAGCATTTCTGTTAACAAGGGAGACCTGCCTGGACAGGAGTAGAGAACACGGACAGGCAGAGAATAGGTACTTCAGGGTCACCACATTGAGCATTTCTGTTAACAAGGGAGACCTGCCTGGACAGGAGTAGAGAACATGGACAGGCAGAGAATAGGTACTTCAGGGTCACCACATTGAGCATTTCTGTTAACAAGGGAAACCTGCCTGGACAGGAGTAGAGAACATGGACAGGCAGAGAATAGGTACTTCAGGGTCACCACATTGAGCATTTCTGTTAACAAGGGAGACCTGCCTGGACAGGAGTAGAGAACACGGACAGGCAGAGAATAGGTACTTCAGGGTCACCACATTGAGCATTTCTGTTAACAAGGGAGACCTGCCTGGACAGGAGTAGAGAACATGGACAGGCAGAGAATAGGTACTTCAGGGTCACCACATTGAGCATTTCTGTTAACAAGGGAAACCTGCCTGGACAGGAGTAGAGAACATGGACAGGCAGAGAATAGGTACTTCAGGGTCACCACATTGAGGCAGAATGTTCCTGGATGATGCTTAAGTGAAAAACCTCTCACCCTGTTCCAAACCCTGTTGCTAGATTAGTCATAACCTATCTCTCTAGGTTTTAATCAAAGTGGATTCTAAGACACATCCACTTAAAATATGATTACTGGTTAAATAAATGGTGATGTAACCAATCAGCAGAATTCTATCTAGCCATTGAAAAGGATGAGGCAGCACTCTTTGGAATGAGTATCTCCAAGAGAAACTTAACTTTTAAAAAGGTATAGAAGTGTTCATGCTTTGCTACCATGAGTATAAAACATATTACATAGACTATCTGTAGGATATACTAGAAACTAATAGTAGCGATTACTTTTGGGAGGAGAACTTGGTGGCAAGGGGGCAGGTTGGAAGGGAGACAACTTTTCATTGTATGCACTTTGTACCTTTTGTATCATATGCATCTATCATTTATTAAGTTATTTGAATAAAAATGAAAATAGTTACCTTACCACCCTGGCTGGTTTGGCTTAGCAGTTGGAGTGTCAGCCCAAGGACCAAAGAGTCTCGGGTTTGATTCCTGGTCAAGGGCACATAGCTCAGTCAGGGTCATGCGGCAGGCAACCAATCAATGTGTCTCTCTCACATCGATGTTTCTCTCCCTGTCTTCCGCTGTCTAAAAAAAAAATCAACAGAACAATATCCTCCGCTGAGAATTGAAAAAAAAGTTGCCTTACTTTTGCCTTATCCACCTGCAGGTTGACACTAAGTAAAGGACGCGAAGTTCAATACCAGACTGTTCATGCTTCCCAGCTCATCTCACAGGCATGAATTGTTATCGGAAATGTAAACTTAAGTTTTATTAAGCAACTCCCCCCAGAACAACCTTATTAATAATAACTTTCAAAGTCACTTATATAGTATGTGTTCCTTTTTTTTCCTTTATTGTTTTGAGGGAGAGAGGAAGTGAGAGGGAGAGAGAGATAGAAACATCGATGAGAGAGAACATCGACTGGCCGCCTCCTGCGTGCCCCCCACTGGGGATCGGGCCCACAACCTGGGCATGTGCCCTGACCCGGGATCGAACTGGCAGCCTCTTAGTGCAGGGTTGACGCTCAACCACTGAGCCACAGTGGCTGGATTATGTGTTTTTTTACTGTATACATTTCAGGTGTCAATACAACTATTTTTTAGTAACTATGCAGTCAATATTCAACTTAAACATACCTAATCATTACTCAAATGTTGGATATTTTATTTGTTTCTAATTTTTCACTTCTATAAATAACGCCTTGAAAAACATATCTGTCAAAAATAATTTTTTTTGCCCTGGCTGGTTTGGCTCAGCCATTGGAGCGTCAGCCTGGGGACCGAAGAGTCGCGAGTTCAATTCCTGGTCAAGGGCATGTACCTTGGTTGCTTGTTCGATCCCTGTCCCCAGTCAGGGTCATGCAGGAGGCAGCTAATGTTTCTGTCTCCTCCCTCCTACTCTAAAAATCAATGGAAAAATATTCTCGAGTGAGGATTAAATTAAAATTTTTTTGTTACTTTTTTCCTTGGGGCAAACTATTTTCATGCCAGAAATGAAAATCTCATTTCATCTTTTCATTCTAAAAAAGAGAAAATTTCTGCTACATTCTAAAATTTTTTAAAATTATGTTTGGATTTTCTGCAGCTCTGTTTTCTGTAGTCAGAGATAAACTGAGAGCTAATTTTAATAAATTTTATTATTTTTTAAAATGTTTTTATTGATTTTTTTTTTTTTTACCTAGAGAGTAAGGTGAGAAGGAGAGAGAGAGAGAGAGAAACATTGATGGGAGAAACATTGAGTAGCTGCCTCCTGCACGCCCCCTGCTGGGGATTGAGGCCGCAACCTGAGCATGTGCCCTGATAGGGAACCAACCAGCGACCCTCTAGGTGCATGGGACAGCGCTCAACCACTGAGCCACACCAGCTGGGCTGATTTTAATACACTTTAAAGTTGCCTTGCAAATAGCCCAGGGAAGGCAAAAGTGGGTGGAGCAGAACCGAGGCTCAGAGCCAGGTGCCCTGTGACTGGAGTAACACGAGGCTGAACCAGGCTCAGCAACAGCTGCCCTCTCCGGCCACCTTGAGTCATCTTCTTTCCCCAGAGCCTATGATCCTGCGGATTATGAGCATTTGCCTGTTTCCGCCGAGGTTAAGGAACTCTTCCAGTACATCAACAGGTGAGTGTTAGGGCTTCTTGTCAGCGCCCCCCGGGCCTCCCCTGCCCGTTCCTGCCTCTCGTCTAAAGCAAGGCCATTCTCCTTAGATTTTCTAAACCAAAAAGTAAGTTTCTCTGTTTCCGTCTTCCCTTGGCAATATCTGCTAGGTATACACCTCAGTTGATTGACCTGGACCACAAACTGAAACCTTTCATTCCTGATTTCATCCCAGCTGTTGGGGATATTGATGCATTTCTAAAGGTACAGTCAGAACGTCCTAAAAGTGAGTCCATAGGTGTTTCTTCTAACTCCTCTATTAGTCTACCAGTTCCGCTCCTTTTCTTGACAAGCATTGGCTTCCTTGATTATATTCCTCATTTCATTAGAGTTCTTAACCTTGCTCCCTACTCCATACTATAATTATTATATCAGGTAATACTTGATTATCTTATTATGTGTTAAAAATTGTCATGGCCCTGACCAGTTTGGCTCAGCGGTTAGAGCGTCGGCCCGCAGACCAGTGAGTTGTGGGTTCAGTTCTGGTCAAGGGCATGTACCTTGGTTGCAGTTCAGTCCCCGGCCTGGTTGGGTCATGTGGGAGGCAACCAGCTGATGTGTCTCTCTTACATTGGTGTTTCTCTCTCCCTTTCTCTCTCTCTCCCTCCCGCCCACTCTGATGATAAATAGAAAAATATCCTCAGGTGAGGATTTAAAAACAATTTTTTTTCTAAATTGTCACGTATTTGCTGCCTAATTATCCATGCCTTCAGCGTTGTGTTTAAGGTCCTGTAAGTGAAGTGTTTGTCCCGGCAGGATTTGGCACCGCTGCACAGTGTGCTCTTTGATGCTAGTCGTAGTGATGAACCAGAAGAGTTGTTTCTCTCCAGCTTATTGGAAACCAGGTGTGTGGCCCTTTATGTCGCTCTCACTTTCCTCTCTGTGTGCTCGCTTCTCTGCTGACCAGGTCCCCCGTCCTGATGGGAAGCCCGACAGCCTTGGCCTGTTGGTATTAGACGAGCCCTGCGCGAAGCAGTCCGACCCGACGGTGCTCTCACTGTGGCTGACAGAGAATTCCAAGCAGCACAACGTCACAGTAAGACGCTAGTAAAGTACAGGCCCCGCTGGACAGGCCCAGAGCGGGGGCCTTGCCGGTACCGGTGCAGCTGACTTACTGCCCACTGCAAGGGGTGGCTGTGGTTTCCGGACAGCCCTAGCCTTGAACGACAGTTCTGCCCTGGCTGGTGTGGCTCAGCGGTCAGAGCGTCAGCCTGCGGTCCAGAGAGACCCGGGTTCGGTTCCTGCTAAGGGCATGTTCCTCAGTTGCAGTTCGTCCCCAGCCCTGGTTGGGTCGTGCGGGAGGCAGCCACTCGATGTGTCCCTTTCACGTCGATGTTTCTCTCTCTCACTCTCTCTTCCTCTCTCTCCCTCCCACTCTATCTGAACAAAAAATGGAAAAATGTCCTCAGGGAAGGATAAATAAATAAATAAATGACAGTTTTATTGAGATATGATTTACTTACCATAAAGTTCACCCTTTAAAATTCTACGGTTCCGTGATTTTTAGTATATTCACAGAATTGTAGCAGCAGCAGCAGCATCTAAGAACATCTTCATCCCTCCAGGAGGGAATCCTGTACCCATTAGTGGTCACTGTTCGTTCCCTGCTCCTAGACCCTGGTAGCTGCCTCATTGTTTTGTTTGTTTTAAGCAGCTGAATAATATTTTATTGTGTGGAAACATCATGTTTTTATCCACGCACCACCAGCTGTTTCCACATTTATCAATTATGCTTCTATGGTGATATGTAGGGTTTTTAAAAAGTATATTTTTATTGATTGTTTAGAGAGAAAGGGACAGAGAGAGATAGAAACATCAATGAGAGAGAGATAGAAACATCAATGAGAGAGCGATACACCAATCGGCCGCCTCCTGCACGCCCCCTACTGGGGATGGAGCCCACAACCTGGGCATGTGCCCTGACCGGGAATCGAACCGGGACCTCTCAGTCCACGGATTGTCGCTCAGTCCGCTGAGCCACACCAGCCAGGCTGCTGTACATGCTTTTGCATGGACATATATTGTTGTTTCTCCTGGACACATACATGTAGGAGCGGGATTCCTGGGCCATATGGTAACTGCTGAGTATTTTGGGGAACTGCCAACTGCTTTCCAAAGCAGCTGACTCATTTCACAGTGCCACCAGGATGAGTGAGAGTCACAGTTTCTCCACACCCTCGTCGGCACTTCTCGCTGTCTCGTTCTAGCCGTCCCAGTAGGTGTGAAGTGGTATCATGTTGTGGTCGGTCCATCTATTGACCTGCTCCTTGCCCTGACTCTGGAACATCTGACCAGTTTCCTGTGACCGTCATTTGGCTGCTGTGAGGCCTCCCTTTCCTCAGCTGCTCCGTCGGTGACATGGCAGCACAGACGAGCCCTTGCAGGAGGGGAGCTGCTGCAGGGCCCTCAGCCAGGCCTCCCCTTGTTCTTCTAGCAACACATAAGGGTGAAGAGCCTGGAAGATGCAGAAAAGAACCCCAAAGCCATCGACATGTGGATTGAGAGCATCTCCGAGTTACATCATTCAAAGCCCCCTGCGACTGTACACTATACCAGGCAAGAAATACCACCTTCTTCTCCACTGTCCCCCACGGTAGCCTTCGCCATGTGGGCACCCATGGTGTCTGAGAAGGGGCCCAAGGCCGGGACATAGTCGACCAACCCGAGGTCCTATGGATCCTCAGCTGCTGGCTGAGATTGCAGACATAAAGATTGTGAATTTTCTGGTGCTGTCACTTAGCCAGCTGCTCCACACCCCAGGCCGGGTGAGTTTGGTTTGCCCGGTCTGTGTTCGGAAACCTCACGTGCCAGGTAGAGTCTCCCTTCGTCCCAAATGTCCTGACCCAGAGACTGCTGGTGTCACTGTCCATGCTGCGTGTTCATCTTTGCCTCTCTGCTCGTAGGCCCATGCCTGACATCGACACGCTGATGCAGGAATGGTCCCCAGACTTCGAAGAGCTTCTGGGCAAGGTGAGCGGAGGGCAGGAGGAGATAAGAGCTCGGCATTCACTCTGGGCTTCGTGTTCTCTCTTCCTGTACTGTTATCATCACTGACTTATCTATTTATTTAAAAAAATGTTTTTTCCTTATTGATTTTAGAGAGAGAGGAAGGGAGAGGGAGAGAGAGAAACACTGATGCGAGAGAGCATTGATTGGCCGCCTCCTTCATGCCCCCCACTGGAGATCAGGCTCACAACCTGGGCATGTGCCCTGACCGGGAATCAAACTGGCAACCTCTTGGTGCATGGGTCGATGCTTAATCACTGAGCCACACTGGCCGGGCGAGAATACATTTTTAAGACTAAAACTAATCATGAAAATTTTAGGAAAAAATAATGGAGGATTTAACCTATCAGACATTGGAAGCACATTAGAAAGCTACAGTAAATAAAATGTTGGCGTAGGAGTAGAAATAGATGAGCATAAACATCCCAAACAGCCCTGGCTGAGTACTCTGCTGCTTAGAGTGTTGTCCCCATATGTCAAGGTTGTGGGTTCAATCCCTGGTCACAGCACATACCAGAATCAACCAATGAGTGCATGAATAAGTGGAACAACAAAATGGGCACCTCTCTCTCTCTCTCTCCCCCCCCTCCCTCCCTCCCTCCCTTTCTCTCTCTCTCCCCCCACTTCTCCCCTCTCTCCCTCCTTCCTTTCTCCCTTCCCCCCTTCCCTCCCTCCCTTTCTCTCTCCCCCTCCCCCTCTCTCTTTTTCCCCTCCCTCCCTCCTTCCCTCCCTCCCTCCCTCTCTCCCTCTCTCTCTTTTCCCTTCCCTCTGTCTATCCCTCTCCCTCCTTTCTTCCTCTCTCTCTGAAATAATAAATAAGTTTTCATTGTATTCAGTCCATTTGAAAAGAACCCTGAGACACACCCACGTGTGTGGGATGTGATGTGTCAGAAGGCGGTGGTTTAAATGCTGGGAGATGGAGTGGGTTCTGATGGGACGGCGGAGCAGCCGTCTGAGAAGGTGAGGTCTGTGCCGCCGTGTGCACGCCTCACTCCAGGCGAAGAAACAGTCAGTGTCAGCATAACTCTACACAAGTACTGTTTTTCAAAGTGGGGAAAATATTAATACTCTTAGGATCGTTAGATGTTTCTTAGCATACTAAGAAACTTAAAAATTGTAATCAGGAAAACCTGATAGTTACCGTAAACAAAGTTAAAAGAGTAACGGAATGAGAAAAATTACATACATGTATGTGATAACATTACCTTGCAAGCAGAGAACTCTTACACAAGAAAACCAAGCAAAGAAGACTGACAGGTCTTCCCCAGCATCGTTGTTAAATTGCTACACCAGCTCCCTGTGTTCCCCACCCCTTCCCCTGCTGTTTCTCCGTAATACTTACCTTCTAATGTACTATACACCTTACTTATTTTGTTTTTTGGTTCTTATATAATTAAAACTCTATGAAGACAGTTTTTTTTTGGTACATATTTACTGAGGAATTGTTATAAAAGCAAAGAATTTGAAAAAAAGTATTTTTGCTTGACAGCATTTTAAAGCTGTAGCTAAGAGGAAATATCTGATTAGAAAGATTATAGTACATTCAGTGGACTATTAGATAGATTGTAGTACATTCAGTGGACTATTAGATAGATTGTAGTACATTCAGTGGACTGTTAGATAGATTGTAGTACATTGAGTGGACTATTAGATAGATTGTAGTACATTCACTGGTCTATTAGATAGATTGTAGTACATTCACTGGTCTACTAGATAGATTGTAGTACATCCGGTGGACTATTAGATACATTATAGAACTTTCAGTGGACTATTAGATAGATTGTAGTACATTCACTGGTCTATTAGATAGATTGTAGTACATTCACTGGTCTACTAGATAGATTGTAGTACATCCGGTGGACTATTAGATACATTATAGAACTTTCAGTGGACTATTAGATAGATTGTAGTACATTCGGTAGAATATTAGATTGTAGTACATTCGGTGGACTATTAGATTGTAGTACATTCGGTGGACTATTAGATTGTAGTACATTCGGTGGACTATTAGATAGATTGTAGTACATTCAGTGGACTATTAGATAGATTGCAGTACATTCAGTGAACTATTAGATTGTAGTACATTCGGTGGACTATTAGATTGTAGTACATTCGGTGGACTATTAGATTGTAGTACATTCGGTGGACTATTAGATAGATTGTAGTACATTCAGTGGACTATTAGATAGATTGTAGTACATTCAGTGGACTATTAGATTGTAGTACATTCGGTGGACTATTAGATTGTAGTACATTCGGTGGACTATTAGATACATTGTAGAACATTCAGTGGACTGTTAGATAGATTGTAGTACATTCAGTGGATGCTTACACAGTGGAATATTATATGGCCTTAGTTTGCTCTGATATGGAAAATATCAATGACATGTTGGTAAGTGAAACAAGGAAATTGCAGAACTACATAAACTCTGATTTTTATAAAAAGAAAACAAAAAATTTTAAGAAGCTAATGTTTTTTAATCTTATAGCAGAAGTTGTTTAGATCCAGAGCCTGTCACCTGAGATGTCGTGTCCAGTTTTTCCGTTCCTTTGGTGTGTTCAGGGACCATTAGGCCTTTGACACTAAGTACGATCAGTACACAGCCTAGTGCCGGTTTCTGTTGCACAAGCACAGGGGAGCAGGGTAGTGCTTTCAGTTGTGAACTCTCGGTTCTGTGGACCATCTGCCCTGCTGGTCAGTGATGGACCAGCCCCGTCTGCTAGGGCTGCCGTTAACGAAGCTCTGTGACCGTGGCTCAGAGCGCAGAAATGTGTTGTCTTCTTCCTTTCCAGAACCTTCCTTACTGGCCATCTCCCTGTGTCCCCACATGGTCCCCCTCTGTGTGTGTCCATGTATTAATTTCATAAGGTGCCAGTCATACTGGGTCAGGGTCCGTCCTAATGACCTCATTATAACCTGATTTTCTCCTTGACGATTGTGTCTCCAAGTTCACTCACGTTCAGAGGTATGAGGAGTTAGGACTTTGACATAGGATTTGGGAGAACCCCACTTAGCCCCTAATACATATGAGTTAAGGTAGGAGCTCTTGTTTCTTCAGAGAGAGAGTTTAACCTTCGACCTTGGTACACGTGCCCCCCAGGTGAGCCTGCCCACGGCGGAGATCGACTGCAGCCTGGCAGAGTACATTGACATGGTCTGTGGTGAGTGCTTCCATCGCCCCGTCCCCACCTCTGGGTCACATTCGGGGCTCTCCAAGGACCTGCGCTCTGGGAAGTCCTGGGCTGCAGCCTTCACTCGGAGCACCTGCGCTGCTGGCACCCCCGGGTGGGCTTGGGCTTCGGGCATTACTCCCAGAGCCATGGGACACACCGTCTGGGAGGGGGGGCTCGGCTCCTGAACAAATGCCCGAGGCCCGAGGCTCCTGTTGGGTCGCTCACGGGGTCCTTGTTCCAGCCATCCTGGACATTCCCGTCTATAAGAGTCGGGTTCAGGCCCTCCACCTGCTCTTCTCCCTCTACTCGGAGTTCAAGAACTCTCAGGTAGGTCTGCACTGACTGCCGGTGTCGGGAGGTCGCTGCAGTGTCCACTGCTCGGAGTCAGTGTGACTGTCCTGTGACGGGAATTGTTCTGCCCAGAGTCACAGTGCCCGTCCCCATGGTGAGGAACTGCCGGCAGGGTCGGTGCCTGTCTCCCTAGTGAGGAGCTGCCCGCAGGGTCGGTGCCCGTCCCCACAGTGAGAGCTGCCCGCAGGGTCATGGTGCCCGTCCCCACAGTGAGAGCTGCCCGCAGGGTCATGGTGCCCGTCTCCCTAGTGAGAGCTGCCCGCAGGGTCGGTGCCTGTCTCCCTAGTGAGAGCTGCCCGCAGGGTCGGGTGCCCGTCCCCCTAGTGAGGAGCTGCCCGCAGGGTCGGTGCCCGTCCCCACAGTGAGAGCTGCCGGCAGGGTCGGTGCCCGTCTCCACAGTGAGAGCTGCCCGCAGGGTCGGTGCCCGTCTCCCTAGTGAGAGCTGCCGGCAGGGTCGGTGCCCGTCCCCACAGTGAGAGCTGCCCGCAGGGTCGGTGCCCGTCTCCACAGTGAGAGCTGCCCGCAGGGTCGGTGCCCGTCCCCACAGTGAGAGCTGCCCGCAGGGTCGCGGTGCCCGTCCCCACAGTGAGAGCTGCCGGCAGGGTCGGTGCCCGTCTCCCTAGTGAGAGCTGCCCGCAGGGTCGGTGCCCGTCCCCACAGTGAGAGCTGCCCGCAGGGTCGCGGTGCCCATCCCCACAGTGAGAGCTGCCCGCAGGGTCGGTGCCCGTCTCCACAGTGAGAGCTGCCCGCAGGGTCGGTGCCCGTCCCCACAGTGAGAGCTGCCGGCAGGGTCAGTGCCCGTCCCCACAGTGAGCTGCCGGCAGGGTCGGTGCCCGTCCCCCTAGTGAGGAGCTGCCCACAGGGCCAGGCTCCTAGAGATAAGGAAGGAGTGGAGACGGGCCCTTGGGTGCGCTCAGGTCGGGTCCGCAGAGGACACGTCATCACAGGAGAACCAGGGGCTGGTGAATGGAAACGGGAGGAGGGGAAGGGGACATTTTTGTAGGCGGCGGGCAGATCTAGCCTGTCTCAAGGACAGCACCAAGGAGCTGTTCTGAAGGCAGAGGGGGAGAGCATGGAGCCCCGGGGTGGTCGGGGTGGTCGAGCGGTCAGTCCTTGCTGACGTGTAACGACTGGCAGTCCACGCCCGCGCCCTCCTCCCGCTCCCTCCTCGCAGCACTTCAGAGCTCTCGCTGAAGGCAAGAGGGGGCTCGCCCCTCCGCCCAGCCCCTCCCCCCAAGCTGGAGATGCAGAGACGTCGACCCTCGGCTGAGACACGCTCCTCACTCCTCGCCCGGCTGAGGGGAGACTGTCAGCCCAGCCGCTGGCACCCTGCCTGGTCCGCCGACCCCCTGCTCCGACCCCTGCTCCCTGGAAGCACCGCATCGCTCACGCCCCTTCCCTCCCCGGCAGCTCCGCACCCTGCCGCCAGGGGGCCTCAGTTAGCCGAGCTGAATTTCTGGGACCCTAGGATGCTCAGGTTAGAAGGACAGTTTAAAAGATGTTCTTTTTGAGATAGTTGGCAAAGATTTTACAAATAAAATGCTCTCACCTTTCAGGTTGTCCTGCTGTTCTGTAATATAAAAACAAAAAACAAACAAAAAAAAACAGACAGATCAGGAGCTTGGCCTAATGATGGGCAGGAAGTGAGTCGCAGGGTGAGCGGGTCACCTCATGCCGTGGAGCCGAGCACTGTCCCCGGGCAGGCAGGGGAACCGCTCTCCTCCCGGGACTCGTTCTTCTTGCAGAGCTCGCTCCAGTTAACGCTGCCGGCCTCGGGCCCTGCGGTCCACCCCGGACCCGCCTCGGGGCCCTGCGGTCCACCCCGGACCTGCCTCGGCCCCTGCGGTGTGGCCCCGGTCCGGCCTCACGGGTCCCTGTGGTCTGGCCTCGGACCGGCCTCACGGGCCCCTGCGGTCCGCCCAGGACCGGCCTGGCTGTGCTGTGCCGTGGTCCAGGTGAGACATCGCTGTGCCTTGCCCTGGGGGTTGTGGAAGAGATGCATAGATCAGGAAATACCTTGGAGGGTCCATCCCCCAGATTCCAGTCAGGAGGTCAGAAGCCGTGCTCGTCACTTCTCACGAAGGGGTCCATGTGGGACACGGTTACAGAGGCTTTGGAGGGTGCGGAACGGGGAGGAAGCAGGTTGCTGAAGGAATGAAGGGTCGCGGGCTGGTCCCACTGCAGGTGCTGGAGGTGGAGGAGAGGCAGTGGCCTTGGCGCAGGAGGGGCCCTGGGAGGCGCAGCTGACCTGCAGCCCTCGCCCCCGCCCCGCACTGGGGGCGCGGCTGCGGCCTTCGTCCCCCCTCCGCGGGCCCTGCCAGGGCCTCCGTGGGCTGGAAGTAACAGCTGGCAGGGAGTCTGCAAAGTCCAGCAGTATAATGCGGGGGCGGGGGGCGCTGAGAGACAGCAGCTGAATAATCGGCGGAGGGAGACCACGCAACTGGCGGTAGCTCGGAGGTAGGGATGAAAGGAAAGAAAGCAAGGATGACTCCCCGGCTTGGGGCTGGAGGAGCTGAGTGGGTGATGGAGCGAAGCACTGATTCGGGGACAGTGGGGAAGGACTGAGCGGAAGGGAAAGTTACATTGAAATGTGCACTGTCAGCCTAGTGTACACAGGCCGACACGTACACAGGAGGGGACTTGTTTCTTGGACTCTTAACCAGCTGTGACGTTCACGTTACGCTTGACTTGAGGAGCAGGAACATCTGGGCTCAGGCCTCACTCTGACACCACCTGGGGACCAGGTGCTGTGCCCCCAGATGGGTTTCATTCATGCTGATGTTTAACTCGTAGGGCAAAAGAAGCAGAACGTGATGGAAACTCGAATTCTCCATCCAGTTTTGTTTTTCTTATCCTGACCTAGGAACATTCTCTCATTTTTTGTTCAGATAGAGTGGGAGGGAGAGAGAGGATGAGAGAGAGAGAGAGAGAGAGAGAGAGAAACATCGACGTGAAAGGGACACATCGAGTGGTTGCCACCAACCAGGGCCGGGGACAAACTGCAACCGAGGTACGTGCCCTTAGCAGGAACCGAACCCGGGTCTCTCTGGACCACAGGCCAGCGCTCTAACCACTGAACCAGACCGGCCAGGGCTCCATTCAGTATTTAAGGAACAATCAGATGGGCCTGTGGCTAGAGCCGAAGGAGGCTCAGCACCGATACATACAGTTGATCCCTGTTGTTCATGGTAGTCACGTTCTGTAGGTCACCGTGAACATGAGCTGGCAGACACCAACCCATCGCTCCCAGGGAGATACAGGGCTAGGTGCCTGTATACCTCCGGTCACAGCATGTTCATCAGTCGACACGGATTCATCGGATCCACAGCCACCAGCACGGTACGGCACGCCGCAGCGCAGCTTATCTAAGACCTTCCCCGGGCCCTTACACTTAGGAACCAGGCAGCCCCTCAGAACCGTGCTCGGGGCCCCTTTCAACAGTCGAGTCCCCACCAACAAATCACGGCGTTAAGCAGAGCTCGGAAAGGGCGCTGTTTGCAGTGTGAGAGCCGAAGCCAGAGGCGCGGTTCCTTGCAGCCTCTCCTTTTCTCTGCTTTGAACCTGTTTGCAAACGACCCCGAAACACTGCCCGGGTGCAGGGATCGCAGTGGTTGGAGGATGTGCATTTACAAGAACGGGATCTTCACGTAGCGAGGACCGACTGCACCGCCTCCTCCCTCACTGGCCAGCGCGGGCCTTTCAGCATTTCTCCCGCCCACCAGCCCTCGGGTGACCGTCCTCAAGCTCCCCTCTCCTCTTCAACGCTCTGTAGTTACTCCCTTTGGGCGACTTGTTCTGTGGCCCCGAGAAAAATCAGTGACTTCTGTGCCTCGGTTAATCCAGCTATGAGTCAGCTGTAAGAAACACTAATTTAATTCTTAGGCTTGTCCTGTGGGTGAAAAATGGGAAAACATTAAGTGCCACAAAATGGAAGATAATTCTATTACTACGTGTACATTTTCAACGTGGCCTTTTAGACTTTCCACTGGGTCACCCTCTTCCTACCCTGAAGCCTCATGTTCCACAGTTGCCGCCGTGAGCTGCCAAAGCAGTCTGCTTCCGTGCCCGGGAGCCCCCCTTCCAGCTGCTCTCCTGTGCTGGCTCCTCTCCGTGCGTGAAGTGTCCCCCATCTCTGCCAGCCCCAGGTTCTCACCACCGCTTAGCAAACAGACACCAGACACAAGTGTTTACATCTTCATTCCGCCCTTTCACCCTATTTGCTAGAATGACATTCTAGGAAAACAGAAAAACAGCAAGGACGAAGAGTAAGAAAGAAAAGGATGGTAGACTCGATAGCAAGTTTAGTTCAAATCATTTTTTTATTTTTCAATTACAGTTGACATACATTATTATATTACTTTCAGGTGTACACCCCACAGATTATGTAGTACATAATTTACTAAGTGGTCATCCTCATAAATCTGGCACCCATCGGACACTGTTTATAGTTATAAGAGTAGTATTGACTAGCCTGGATGGTGTGGCTCAGTGGATTGAGCATCGTCCATGAGCTGAGAGTTCCCAGTTTGGGTCCCCGTCAGGGCACATGCCGGGGTTGTGTGCTCAATCCTTGATCCCCAGTAGGGGGTGTGCAGGAGGCAGCCAATCAATGTTTCTCACATTGATGTTTCTCTCTCTCCTGCCCTCTCTTCCACTCTATAAAAAAAAAAAAAAAAAAAAAAAAACCAATGGAAAAGTGTATCCTCTGGCAAGGATTAACCAAAACAAAACAAAACAAAATTTAAGAATATTATTGACTATTTCCTATGCTGTGCATGGGGATGAGTATACCATAACAACCAATTAGTACTTCTTTTTTTCTTTTAATCCTCACCAGAGATTTTTCCATTGAGTTTTTCAGATACAGTGTGAGGGAGGTATGGAGAAAGGGAGAAACATCAATGTGACAAAGACACATCAATTGGTTGCCTCCCACCTAACCCTGACTGGGGCCGAGGATCAAATCCTAAACTAAGTACATGCCCTTGACTGGGAATGGAACCCACAACCCTCCAGTCTGCAGGCCAATGCTCTAACTGCTAAACCAAACTAGCCAGGGCCCGATTTGGACTTCTTAATCCCTTCGCCTTTTTCCCATCTGGCAACTGTCAAAATGTTCTCTGTATTTGAGTCTGTTTCTGTTCATATATTTTGTTTTTTAGATTCAATTGTCGATAAATATGTAGTCTCTTTTGCCATTTTATTGTTCATATTTTTGTTGTTGTTAATCCTCTCCAGAGGATATTTTTCCATTGATTTTTAGATATAGTGGAAGGGACTGAAGAGGAGAGGGAGAGAGAGAAAAACATCAATGTGAGAGAGACACCATCGATTGGTTGCTTCCTGCATGACCCTGACCTGGCCAGGGATTGAATCTGCAACCGAGATACGTGCCCTTGACTGGGAATTGAACCTGTGCAACACTTCAGTCCGAGGGCCAACACTGTAACTGATAAGCCAAACTGGCCAGAGCTATTATTCATATTTTCAATCTGTCTTTTTCTCTTTTTTCTTAAAGAAGACCCTTTAACATTTCATGTAATACTGGTTCGGTGGTAATGAACTCCTTTAGCTTTTTCTTATCTGGGAAACTCTTTATATGTCCATCAATTCTAAATGATAGCTTTGCAGGATAGAGTAATCTTGGTTGTAGGTTCTTGCTTTTTATCACTTTGAATATTTCATTCCCTTATGGCCTGCAAAGTTTCCTGTGGGAAATCGGCTGACAGTCTTATGGGAGCTCCCTTGCAGGTAACTAACTGCTTTTCTCTTGCTGCTTTTAAGATTCTCTCTTTGGCACGGCCAGTGTGGCTCAGTGATTGAGCATCAACCCATGCACCAAGAAGTCGCTGGTTTGATTCCCAGTCAGGGCACATGCCTAGTTTGTGGGCCTGATCCCCAGTGGGGGGCATGCAAGAGGTGGCCAATCGATGTTCTTTCTCATTGATGTTTCTATCTCTCTCTCCTCTCCCTTCCTCTCTCTCTAAAAATCAATGAAGAAAAAAAAGATTTTTTTAAAAGACTCTCTATTTGTCTTTAACCTTTTGCATGTTGATTATGGTGTGTCTTGGTGTGGGCCTCTTTGGGTTCATCTTGTTTGGGACTCTGTGCTTCCTGGACTTGTGTGTCTGTTCCCTTCACCAAGTTAGGGAAGTTTCCTGTTTTGTTTTTAATTTTTTTTTCTTTATTGATTTTAGAGAGAGAGGAAAGGAGAGGGAGAGAGAGAGAGAAACATCGATGAGAGAGAACATCAATTGGCCGCCTCCTGCATGCCCCCCACTGGGGATTGGGCCCACAATCTGGGCATGTGCCCTGACCGGGAATTGAACAGGCAACCTCTTGGTGCATGGGTTGATGCTCAACCACTGAGCCACACCGGCCGGGCTCTGTCGTTATTTTTTAAAATAGGTTTTCAACTTTTTGCTCTCTCTCTTCTCCTTCGGGCACTCCCATGATGCGAATGTTGGCACGCTTGAAGTTGTCTCAGAGGCTCCTTACACTATCCTCATTTTTTTTTT